TAGTGTTGAAATGCTGATCATTAAGCTATGCCCCTCTGCTTCAAAGCTACCTGTCTATATTCTGCTTTGAGATGCTGGGTCTGGGAATTCACAAACCACTCTCACTTTTTTCTTTGCTCGTTGGCTCCTGCTGATGTCTGCCCATGGGGCCTGGAGTGTGGGAACAAAGGAAGAGGAGGGGAGGGACTGGCTTTTTTCTGCTTTGGTTCTTTTGGTCACCATCACATGAGTACGGGCAATGGCTACCAGGTGGCTGCTCCATTCTGACACTGCTCTTGATTGCAGTTTGCAGGCTTTCCACCTCTTTTGGAGTACTGTCACAAAAGCGCCTTAGTGACAGTAGCCAGCTGGGACCCAACATGTCCATGTGTCTGCAAGTCTTAAGCCTTGACCAGTGGCTTCTGTCCCTAAACACTCACATTTTATCTTCCCTTACTCTGTCCATGTGTTGTCTTTGCTCTAGGGAAGTAGCTGCTTCCTGTAGTTGTTCACTTGCCCTTCTTTCCATTTTTGATATTTCTGTTTGTACTTTCCTTTGGAGGATTTCTCTTTATGTAGCCCAGGCAGTATCTTTGAACCTGTGGGACACTAGATTAATGATCAGCAATTCAACTCAACAAAAAGTAAAAATGTAAGCGAGGATTTTGTGATGCTTCTGAGCATAGACAATAGGCTGCTTAGATACTGTAGCGGTGTAGAGATGCAGGCCTTGGTGGCTGTACAGGTGGAATTGTGTTGCCCTGAAGGATATTTTGACACTCTAACTCCCAGGTTCCTCAGACTGTGATGACTTGAAAATGAGGTCTTCCTAGAGATGATCAAGTTAAGATAAGGCCCTTGGGGCATGCCCAATCCTATGCAATTGGTAGAGTCCTTATGAAAGACTAGGAGCTAGGCATATTCTCTGGTAGACCGAAGGGCCATGATGATGTACTAAAGGTGATCAGTTTCCAAGAGGGCCAGCTTGTTCCTCACCCTCCTGACTTAAGATGAAAGCCTGGCAGCTTAAAACAAAGGCCTTGTCAGCTTTGTCTCCTATCAGCAGGACCCCTGCTGATGGACCAGCTCAAAAAGTGTAAAGCCTGCTCAGGACGTGTCAAACAACAGTCTGGGCCAATTGACCATCAACCACTCTAGCTTTCTTTAAAGTGACCAACACTAAACACTTGAGAGGACCCCCAGCCCTTGAGAAGAGACGCTTTACAGAGTGTCCTTTCTCTCTCTGTGTCTGCTGTGTGTGTGGCTCCTCACCCCCAATAAATATCTTTTTCAACTGTGGATTCTGTCTGCAGTGCTTCAGATTTGTCCTGTCTTTTGACTCTTTAAGTGCAGAGAAAAATGAACCCACCAAGACCCCCAGACTGTATCATTTCAAAGACCCCCTAGTTTGAATTATTTGAGAAAGTAGGAAATTTGAACACACACACACACATGCCCAGAGGGTAGATGATATGCACAAACACAGAGAACAGTACCTGCAATGAATATCTGAAGCTACCAGAATCAATGAATGGCACTGGACAGATTCTCCCTCTTCATCTCCAGAGGAATCATTGCTGCTAATGTCTTGATTTCAGATGTCTCTGGTCTCCAGAACTGAGGGTCAATATATTTTTATTATTTCAGCCAATTTGTTTTATAACAGCCACAGGAAATTTATACTTTGTGTGACCAATTAGAGTTTTGGGAATGGAGTCCCCCATATATTCTAGAATGTCTCTTCACTGTAAAATGTGTTTTCTGGCCTAGGTCAAGGATCTTGCTAATTAGTGTTTGTTATGTATCAAAGATCTCCAAGCAGACATTCTTTGTAATTGCAGAATTCCTCACTTAAGAGTTGAGAAATTCAGTCTTTTTGCTCATAGTCTTTATGTTTTAAAGTTGAGACAATTCACTAGCAACTGGTTCATAACTCGTTTGTTTATCACACACAGTTATAAAAACCAGGGATTTGTACCTGTTTGGTAATTGTGTTAGTTACTTTTCACTATGACAAAAATAACCTGAGACAAACAACTTAAGGAAGGAAAATTTCACTTTGGTTCATGGTTTCATAGATTCCACCCCATGGCCAATTGGCTCTGCTGTTTTGGACCTATGATGGGTGGGAAAGACAGGCTCACTTCATAGTGACTAGAAGAAGAAGAAGAAGAGAGAGAGAGAGAGAGAGAGAGGACAAGATACACCTTTCAATGTCATACTCCCAGACCAGGAACTTCCTTTTTTTCCCCCAACCAGAACTACTTCTTATTGCCCATTCAGTCTGAACCTACTAATGATAAGCTAATAAATTCATCAATGAAGTTAGTGCCAATCACCTCTTAATCATGTCTCTAGCTGAGGGACCAACTTCAATTCCAAAGGACAGTACCTGTGTTCAAAGACTAGATTTCTTATAAACATCTCTGAGGTTTTAGTTTTGTCTGAAAATGGGAAGAGTAGCATCCCTTCAGGGTAAGTACTGGCTGATGTTCGAGAGTGGTTGCTTTCTTTTCCTGCACCGTTAGTATCTATATCAGCTGCACACATAGCCACCAGGCCTACTTTTACCTGTAATCTTTGTCCTACAGCAAAAGAGGGAACAATGAGAACTACTGCTACATTATTAAGTAGCAGGAGTTTCACGGACATTTCCTGAGGGCCTGCTATCTACCATCCAGTGCTTTAGAGTACAGTGGCAACAAAACAGCTATCACATGGAGCCTACAGTTTAGTAGTAAGTGAAGGAGGACAGGTAGTAAATGGTAAGCACATCCTTAGGGCATTAGAAGGTGGTTCGCCCTGAAAAAGAGAAACGTTGAGCAGAGGAGGGCAATTTCTAGATCTAGGACAGCATGATGTGATTTTAACTCAGGCAATCAGGATAGACATACCTGAGAAGATGCTTGAGCAAATTCCAGTGAGGGGAGCTTGTCCAGTGGATTTACTGGGTCATGTGTTTCAGGCAGATAAAAATATAAAGCAAAGGTCTAACTCAAAAGGCAAAGGGTACACATCTCATGTATTTAAGGAAAGCAAACAAGTAAGGGTCACAGGCTCAGAGAGAAAAGGACGAATAGTCAAAGCAGTGCTCAGAGGCTGACTCTCCCAGCCTTGAGAACTTGAGAATGTCAGAACGACTCTAGATTTTGGTGTGGATGACATGGGGAAGTACTGAAGAATTTTATGTGTGAGAGTGACATGACTTGCCATATATTTCAAATTGACCTCAGAGCTGCTCTGCAAATGTTAGATTGTATGAGGTAAGGCAGTCAAACATGGCAGAGAAACATGTTTCTGGGCTCTTTGCTGTGGTCAGGAGGGGATTCGGACCTTGCTGGTAGCTAGTGATAAATGAAATAGTGATAAATGGTGGACATCAGAGCCAAAAGGCTCTCCTCACCATAGGTGATAGAAAGAAGACAGCACCAAACCGCTAAGGTTAGGCTTGGGAAACTGGCAGGATGGAATTGCTATTTAAAGTGAAGAGGCTGGAGGAAAAGGTTTCAGGAGGGTTGTCTGGAGTTGGCTTTGAGGCCATGTTAACCTTGAGATAGATACTCATTGCAAAGCTGAAGGAAGTTCGGAATAAACTGGTATCATTCTGGAACTAACGAGACATGTCTAGATGGCAGTAGGTCTTCACACGTTTTTTCTGGCTTTGTAATTTTACATACCATATAATGTCATTAGCTCCCAAGGCAGGTCATGGGGAGGAGGAGGACTGTGTGGTGGGCTTTTGGGATTTATTCTTTACTAATTATCATAGAGTAGGTGTGGTTTTAATTTCAGTGCTTGGGTTTCCTAAATTTAGATATTGCTTTATTCCTACCTAGAATATTGAGGCTCAATATAAGGTACAAGGCTTTGCTAGGTCTTAGCTCTCAAGATAATATGGGACTCGAGGCCAACATATCTGTATGCTTTTTCTTATACATGATTTAAGTCAATCTTTGGAGAGTCTTGCTTTCAAAGGTTCTACCCTCTTCACATCTTCTTTATAGGCATTTTAATATCTCAAATGTAAGCCCACTTACTTTCTCTTTTTTAAAACAATTTTTATTTTTTTATATTAATCACAGGTTATTTACTTTGTATCCCAGCCGTAGCCCCTCCCAATCCTATCCTCCCAATCCTACCCTCCCTCCCTCCCTCATCTCCTCCCTGCCCCTTTCCAAGTCCACTGATAGGGGAGGTCCTTCTCCCCTTCCATCTGACCCTAGCTTATCAGATATCTTCAGGACTGGCTGCCATGTCCTCCTCTGTGGCCTAGCAAGGCTACTCCTCCCTGGGCTGGGAGGGGGAGTCAAAGAGCCTGCCATTGAGTTCTTGTCAGAAATAGTTCCTGTTCTCCTTACTAGGAAAACCCACTTGGATACTGAGCTACCATGGGCTATATCCGAGCTGGGGTTCTAGGTTATATCCATACATGGTCCTTGGTTGGAGAAACGTCTCATAAAAGACCCCTGTACCCTGACATATTTGGTCCTTGTGGAGCTCCTGTCCTCTCCAGGTCATACTAACTCCCCCTTCTTTCATATGATTCCTTGCACTCGAGTAGTAGCAGTTGATTGTATGCTGAAAATGTTTTATCAGGGAAACCCTGTACTGTTTCCGGGCTGGCCACTAGGTATAGTGTGTAACCCTCTAAGCATTTATCTTAGCCCAGGTTACCCTTCCCAGAAATGCTATCTTTGCTGTCCGAAACTTTTTCCTTCCTCAGTTAAGTTCAGATTATACTTTTCTCTGATTTTAGCTCCAGGTCTGAAGAACCACGGTCCTTAGGGAGAAGACCGCCTTTCAAACAGTTTTTAAACAGCCAACATCGTCCAACCTTGGGATGCTGGAAAATCTGACTGGACTTGCTGGGCCCTAGACCCTCCTCTCACTCCCCTGCTTCCGGCGCAGCCCCTCTCAGAGGGGCGTGGCGTGCTGATCTGGACCCGCCCTCCGGCTGCGCGCGGCGGCGGCCCGCGGTCACGTGAGCGCGGCGAGGGAGGGGCACTACTTCCGGACGGCGGAAGGAGACGCGGCCGCGTGAGGACGAGGCGATTTGAAAACACGCTCTGAGAGAGAGCGAAAAGCCTGCGGCCGGCGGTACGCGGCGTGGTCCCTCGGGGTTTGGCGCTCGCTCGCTCTCCGCCTTGTCTCCGCGGCCCGGATCCGTCCGGGCTCTCAGGTGAGCGGCGTCCGTCGATCCTGCCCGGCCTCCTGCGGCGCGGACCTGCGCGGCCCAGGCGGCCCAGGCGTCTGAGGCGGCCCAGGGGGCAGGGTGGGCGGCCGGGGTCCCCGCTGTCCCCAGCGAGCCTGTGAGCCACCCGAGGGGCTTCCCAAACGCCTCGAGCGGCCGCGCGTCGATTTGGGGCCCGGCTAGCGTTAGGCCGGCGTGTGGGGTTCAGGCCACAGGCTCTCCACACGACGTTCGCTGGGGGTTAGGAACCGTTTTCCTCCGGAAACAAACAAACAAACGGACAAGAACCACACAAACAGAAACGGGGTTTCCATTTTTTGTCGTGCGAGCTCGAAAACTGGGGTGGGCACATCTAGTCGCTGCGCTCTTCTCCCCCACCCCACCTTGTCCATCCTCCCTTTTTGGCCCCTCGGATTTTGAAGAGTTCTTGAGGCGCAAGGGGTTGGAGATGAAATCATCATAGGCCAACTGCTGCTATTTCTCCTTGGGATTTCTTTCTTTCTTTCTTTGGAGGGCGGGAGAAGTTGGAAATAAGGAAAGTAATGAAGTGGCCGCAGGGCAAACTCCAAGTTGCAGTCTTCATCCTCCCAGGTTAGCTCTAAGACTGACCTGCAGCAGGAATATTTGTGCTTGAGTTCTCAGGCGGTTGGGGCTCAGAGGCTGGAGTTTCTCCATGGTACTCACTGTCCACTATTGTGGAAGTGGGCTAGTCTAGTAGAGCTATTTGATTTCCTGTGTTATGAAAATCTTCAAGTGAAAATAACAACAGCTGCTACCTGGAATTCCAAAAACAGCTAGTAGAAAACTGTTAACCTGGGTGATTTGTAAATATCTGTCGAGATTTAAAAGTCAGTGAAGAGCTATTAGCCCTCATAATTTTCCTAGTAGATTCACTAGTGAGTGCTTTAAGTCAGGTGGCACAACTTGACATTCTTACTCAAAGTGGGGTGTGATGTAGACTGCAAGAGGCCCATCACATGTGGAAGAGTGCCCAGAGGATAATGTGAGGTGTCACAGTTTCCTCTGTGTTGCTGTTACATTTATCTTTGGAAACACTACTGAAAAAATTGTAAGAAAAGCTCAGAGTGTGGTTGCTTAAGAGATTAAAAACCAGTTTTGTATTAAAAGTGGCCCCCCGGTACTCACTTTGTGAGGCTTGAATGATTGGTATGTGTTGGTCCTGAGATTAACGTAATCAATGTTGTGCTTGAAGCATATGTATTTTAACAGCTTATAACTCTGATTATGGATGAACAAGGCATTGAATCTGTTGGAAAAGAACTGTGCCTTGCCTTATAGACAAACATTAGGAAATGTGTTTGGATAAGAATCATACTGATTCTAGAAATAGGTTAAAAAAATTGAGATGACATTTTGCTATATTGACTAGGTTCCTCAAGTAACTGTGCTCAAGCAATCTTCTTGCCTCTGTTCAGGAAGTGAGCCATAGGCACATGTACTGTGCTCCCTTTAAAAGTTGGCTTAACCTGTTGTGTGAGTAACATCTACTTAAGGAGTCCTAAGGTAATAAAATCCCACATCAGTGAACTTGGATATGATGTCGTAGCTGAATTCGTTCATTCAGCACTGTAAACTTTTAGATTTTATTTTTTAACTCCATGTGTAGCATTGGGATTTTATTACATGGGCTAATAATTATGTTAGACCAGAAGTACTTTTTTTTTTTTTTTTACTACAGAGGTGTTCAACTGCGTATGCAGTGGAAGACAGAATTATTTTTGAAGCATGTGAAAGAAGCTTCAAGAAGAACTGAACAGGTTCCATTTGGAAGTAACTATTTTTTTTTTTTTTTTTAATTTGAAGTTCACTTATGGGGCAGATACAGCCAGAAAGCGTTGTTGGAGCCATGTTAGTTCTTGCCATGTCAGAGTTAAGTGGATTGTTTATAAAGAATAAAGCAATGAAAGCTCTTTATCTTTGTCACATCGGTATATAGAAAGCTGTCTGCTGACCATTGTCAGGGGGTCAAGAAGGAGACACTGTAGAGACAGAAAAAGAAAAAAAAAATCATTCACCACTGAGGAAACTGTTGAGTAGTCCAGGGTAGAAGTAAGGACTTTTTACAGCTAGTGACTTTGGCATGGGTAGGAAGCATGCAGATTAAAAGAGTTGCTAAAAAACAAAATAGGAATGGAAGTTGAAAGATTGTAGTAGAGCGGATGGAAAAGGGTGCAAGGTGCTATGGTTATGCCTGAGTTACTTAGGGTAGTGACCCAGCTAGTCTTTTTCTTAAATTACATTTCTTTTTAAGTTGTTGCTTACCTTTCAGGGGGCGCGAAGAGGGTGGGTGCTCCTTTTTGTTTATGGCTAGCTGAACTTATGTTTACAATGCTTGAGCCTTTATTTCTATCCTTATCAGGCTTATTCCTATGGCTTTCCTTGCTCATAAGATGCTCAATCCTCCCTATTGCCCTCTTGACCCTACCTGTTTTTTGTCATTGTTGTTTGGTTTGTAGCATCCAGCTTTGATTCATGAATCTTCCTAGTTATCTCCTGCATTGAGTAATAGCATTTTTTTCTTCAGACTTTGTTAGATTCTGGGTGCTATGAGCTTCTAACAGATACCTGTCATGTGTGTTCCAAAGAAGAAACCATTTTAGGTTTCTGTTCGGCGCATTGACAGTTTGATACAGCTCAGAAAACCTGACAAAAGTTCTTTAACAAGATTTTTCCCTTTTTGTTAATGACTCTTGATGGCCATGATTCATAGTGATATATGAGATGTTAGAGTAATATAAACAGTGGAAAACATTTTTATTCTTTTATCACTTATCTTTGATTTAATCCATTGTTTTCCATTCTTTCTGACAGCACTCAAGAATGACCAAAAAGAGGAAACGCCAAGATGATTTTCAGAAAGTAAAACTGAAAGTTGGTAAAAAGAAGCCCAAGTTAGAAAATGCTACGGCTACAAACTTTAAGACCAAGGCTATCCATTTGCCTGAACAACTTAAAGAGGATAGAACACTTCCAACCAACAATAGAAAACTTAACATAAAGGTAAACTGTAAATCACTTTTTTTTTGATAATGAGATTTTTTTCTTTCACATCATGTAGAATGTTATATTTATATGAAAAAATTGTTTATCTCTTCAGTAAATGATTTGCCTTACGTCCATATGGTATGTTGTTAGGTGATGTTTGGTTTTCATATGTTACCATTATCTGATCTTGAAATTGTCCTTCCTACTTCAGAAAGTTTTACTAAAGTAAGTGTGCAGTGATTGCTCCATAGTAACCTTTTTTTTTTTTTTGATGATATATGTCATCTGGAAGTAGTTCTTATATTTACTACATTTTTGTCAAGTTCTTGATGGATAGTTTTCCTTTAGAGCTGATAAAGATAAGAAATTGTGGGTAGTTGTTTTTGAACTGATTGTAACACATGGCTCATTATTGATCTGTAGTAAAGAGTAAGTATCCCTTTTGTTTACCTGAAAGTGATTCATAGCATAGTTTTAGATAAAATGTTTACCTAAAAGTGATAACACAGTAATATCCATACCTAAAATCTGTGTTTGTGTTATAGGATTTGCTGTCACAGATGCATCACTATAATGCCGGTGTTAAACAAAGTGCTCTTGTCGGACTTAAAGATCTTTTCTCTCAGTACCCATTTATAATTGATGCACACCTTTCAAACATAATAAGTGAGGTGACTGCTGTGTTTACAGATAGAGATGCTAATGTACGGTTAGCAGCAGTTCAGCTGCTTCAATTCCTGGCCCCCAAAATACGACCTGAACAAATTTCTCCATTTTTTCCTTTGGTAAGTGCCCATCTCTCTAGTGCCATGACTCACATTACTGAAGCAATTCAGGAGGACTCTTTGAAAGTTTTGGACGTTCTGCTGGAGCATTACCCTGCTCTCATTACTGCCCGTAGCAATATATTGCTTAAGAATTTTGTAGAGCTCATTTCTCATCAGCAGCTGTCCAAAGGACTGCTAAATAGAGACAGGTCCCAGCCCTGGATACTTTCTGTAAACCCTAATCGGAGAGTCACTTCTCAGCAATGGAGGCTCAAAGTCTTAGCAAGACTCAGTAAATTCCTTCAGGCCTTGGCAGATGGATCCAGTAGGTTGAGAGAAAGTGAAGGACTTCAGGAACAAAAAGAAACTCCCCATGCCACTAGCAACTCCATTTTTATCAACTGGAAGGATCATGCCAACGACCAGCAACAGATCCAGGTTTATGAAAATGGGGGTTCACAGCCAAATGTCAGTTCACAGTTCAGGCTACGGTAAGGATTTCAGTTATGTCCACACTCAGTTTTCCTGTATTGAATTTTAACTACTGACCATTAATGGTTAATGGCGGGAAGACATAATTTTTGTCTTTCATGATTTCATGTAGTTATTAATAATGAGTTGATTAGATGACTCCCAATGGCAGGAGTCATTTGCAAGTATGTTTTTGTTTGTATCAAAAGCCTAATTAGAATTAAAACGTAAAAATTTCTATTGGCTTTGCCATTTTAGTATTTTGTTTTTCTTACCAGTTTTGATCAATGTAATTGATAGTTCATGGTGCTTCATTTTACTGTATTTTATCTTTAAATTAAGCAGGGGACTACATTTTGTAATCATTAACTTTTTTTATTCTTACCTTTCCTTATTAGGTACTTGGTGGGAACACTAGGCGCTGTGGATGAAGACCTGTCGTCCCCTGAAAATCTGAAAGGATTCATTGAGATAATAATTCCATTGCTAATTGAATGCTGGATTGAAGCTTTACCTCCACAACTGACTGCTTCTGTTGGACATGGTGTAGAGCGAGAGCCGCTACAGGTTATGCAGCAAGTCCTGAATGTTATTTCCCTGTTGTGGAAACTCTCAAAGCTTCAGGATGAAACCCATACGTTGGTGAGAACTAATGAGTTCTTTATTATTTCATTAGTAATGCCTTTTATCATAATTAGATTAGAAGTTGGCTTATACTACAGATTGAACATGTGTTCTCCAAAGACTGTCCACAGTTTAATGGTAAACTTGTTTTCTTTCTCTTTCTCTTTTTTTTTTTTTTTTTTTTTTTTGGTATAAAAGTGCAAATTAAAATAGTTTCTGGTGGGGTTAGAGAGAAAGCTCGGTGGTTAAGAGCACGGACACTGCTCTTTCAGAGGATCCAGGTTCAATTCCCAGCACCGACATGGCAGCTCACAGCTGTCTGTAATTCAAGATCTCACACACTCACACAGAGATACATGCAGGCAAACACCAATGCTCATATGATAAAAATAAATTGTTAAAAATAGTTTTTGGCAAGTTTAACTAGATTTTAATATTTTTCAGTGAAATGGCATAACAAGTCATTTTTGCGAGGTTATTAGCTGGATATAATTATTTTTTCAGTGAAATGCATAACAGTTTGCTTATTGTATTTGTTTTATTGGAAATAATTTACAGTAATATTAAAGTTACTGTGAAATATTAAAATGTAGGCCAGATGTTGTGACATATGCCTACAATGCCAGCACTTGGGAGGTGGAGGCAGGCAGATCTTTCAGTTCAAGGTTGACCTAGGCTACATGGTTAGGTGTAGGCCAGCTGGAACTACAGTGATACTTTCTCTTAAAAAATGTATTGCTTATATGGCAAATTGATTAGGAACATTCTGAAGATTTCTTATGGGATTGAGAAGTTGCTTAGTAAGTGGTTCCTTTTGTTTTGTGTTACCAAATGTATCAAATGTAGAAACTATACTGAAGTCATAGTGATGGTAATGGAATATGTTGTATGTTTGTAGTGCAGGTAAGTAGGAACAAAGCTGTGAGATGAAGTTTGCAAAGTTTCCTTGCTAGCACCCAAAGGACACTTAGAAGGAGCACTGCTTTAAAGCATGAGACATCTGTTCTACAGAAGACTTCTTGCAAGGACTTTTGGCTAGATCCATATGAGTCTTTTAAATAAAGTTGCCTGTATACACTGAGGAAGGCATGTCTTTTTTGTTTTCATTTTAGTCTTTTATTTTAAGCTGTAGTTTTAGGATGAGCCGTTATGCTGTGTAAGGTAAAACTAAGGATAAAGAGTAATAATTTTGAGAAAAGCATTATGGATCTGTGCTAAGATATGTGCTTTAAGGGCTTGTTCTATTATTGCTAGCCCATCACTATCCACAGGGATGTTTTTAAATTGCTTTTACACTAGTATAGCATGTTATTGATTATACTTTTAAACTTGGCCTATGAGTGAGTCATTCTTCATGTTAGCAACAATAGTATTTTATGCTGGGAAAGCAGAAGCTTGGTTCTCAGCAATTTGTGGTGTAGGCTGACAGTAATGTATACAGCTTAGAAAAATATGTATTTGTAATTTAATGGATCTACAGACAATTCTTGATTTAAAATCAGGTGACTTGAAAATTTTCTGGTTTAGAATGGTGTTAAAACTTACTTGAACAATGACTTTGCACTTTTAGTCTGCCCTTGGATATGGTCTGTGAGGTATTACTACTTTACTGTAGTAAGATAGCCTTTGTATCAGATACTGTTTTCAATGATAGGTTAGTACTATCAGTGTGAGTATATTTAAGGTAGGCTAGGCCAAATTCTGATATTTGGTTAATTAGGTCTATTAAAATACATTTCAATTTAAGGTATTTTCTGCTTAAAATGGGTTTATTAGGATGAAACTTACCAATCAATATTTTCATCTGAAAGACTAAGAAAAATGAAAGTTATGATACTTAATATGGTTTTGGGGCTAGTATTTTCTTCACTTTTAGTGCTTTTGTGGTATTTTTATTTAGAACAGGATACACAAAGTAGACCGTTTGCAAATTCACTAATTGTGCTAGTTTCTAGTTTTGAAATATAATGGATATTTAAAACAGTATGCTTTATCACTTTTATCATTTCAGGGCATTCAATTACATGGGCTACTTTAAGTTTTTAAGACTATAGACTGTTGAAGAACAGACTACTAAATTGAGATACTCTGTAAAACTGATATAAATAGGGCCAGAGAGATGGTTCAGTGGTTAAAAATATTAACTGCTCTTCCTCCTTAATACTTATTTAGTTTTATTTTATGTGTGTAAGTGTTTGCCTACATGGATGTGGATACATGTGCCTTGTAAGTGCAGAGAATAGGAGAACACTTTGGGTTCCCTGTAACTGAAGTGTCAGGTGCTTGTGAGAATCCAGGTTCTTCACCACTGGGCCATCTCTCCAGCCCTTTAAGTACATACTGCTGAGGCCATTAGTTTGGGTCCCTTGGCCAATGTTGGTGTGAGCCACAACTTCACTTCAGATATCTGTAACTCTAGCTCTAGGAAATTTAATGCCTTTGGCCTCGTGGGTACCTGCACTCGTGTATAAATTCACTCACAGACACCCACACATACATCTAATAAAGCAAAAATTTTATGTGGTGGGGTGATCAATTTGTATTGGAATAGTTTGTGTACATACTCATAGTCACACGTATATTTGTGCTATTAGAGATGGAACCCAGAGCCTTAGCTTTACTGCTCAACTAGTCTCAGCCCCCAAATAATTAAACACTTTGTTAGAGTATAATAAATTGGTAAGAAAGAGCTATTATCTTATAAGGACGTATAAAGTTTCATCTGCAGAGTGACATTAAAAGGCATTTAATGTGTTGTATTTTACCATCCCCACTCTTACCCTCTTACTTACCTTCACTAGTAGAATAATAGAATGTTTGGTGACCTGCATAATGGTTTAATCTTTAGGAAGAAGGAAATGGCATTCCTTGACCTTTGAGCACAAATCACAAGGCATAGGCCGAATTTTAATTTTTTATTTTTGTAACTGCTGATGAATTGTCATCTTGATTCAGTGTAGTCTTAGGAGTGCTGATTGCTTAGAACTATTGGAGCCTTTTCATGCATTTGGTTTACTAGTATTTATAACACAGTTTGGAAATTTCATTTGTGTTCAAATATTTTTTTATAATAATGTGAAGCTTTGGTCTTTGCTGCAGAAAGAAATCTCAAGGTACATTACATCAGTATAACGAGTGAAGACATGAGTTTTTATTGGGGTTTCACATTTCTCATATATATGTCTTTAATGTACACCTATTTTTAAGAATGCAAATGAGAATATAATTTAACATTAATATTTTTTCTTCTAGGGTCCTGTGTTGATAGTGTCAGGAACAGGGTTATCACTATAAATGTTTTGTAGTCTAGTTTTAGCAATATTTGTGGCAATATTTTAGTGCTTGCTTCTATTTTCTGTTTCATATTATTTAATGAAAATCAGAATTTGAAACCAACAGGTTTTTTGTTTGTTTTTGTTTTTCGAGACAGGGTTTCTCTGTTTAGACTTTGCTGTCTTGGACTTACTTTGTAGACGAGGCTGGCCTTCAACTCACAAAGATCTGCCTGCCTCTGCCTTAGAGTGCTAGGATTACAGCATGTGCTACTGTGCCCTGCTTGAAACCATGCTTGCAGCCATGTTGTTTTCATATATGTATACAAAGAGGACCTGATTAAGCTCATTATAATTTAAAATTCAAGCCTGGTATGGTGGGATATGCCTATAGTTGCAATATCTTAGGTTATCTGTTGTGATGAAACTCCATCACACACAAAAAAAGTGACTTGGGGAGGAAAGGATTTATTTTGTTTATAGTTCCAACTGAGTATGCATTGGAGGACTTCAGGATAGCAACTTCAGGGCAGGAACCTGGAGGCAAGAGCTGATGCAGAGGCCCTGGAGGAGTGATGGCTTATGCCTTACTCAGCCTGATTTCTTTATAGAATCCAGGACTACCTGCTCAAGAGTAGCACCATCCACAATAGTCTGGGCCCTCCTACAACAACCACTATTTTAAAAAAAATGTCCTACAGGCTTGCCTGTAGCCTGAACTTACAGATGCTTGTGCAGCTCAGTGGATAAAGTGATTGCTGCCTAGGCATGAATGATCTTGAGTTTGATGTCAGCACCCATGTAAAGGCTGCATTGTGACACATGCACTTAGGATTCCATTACTGGGGCAGTAGAGACAGGTGCATTCCTGGGGTTGCCTGCTTGCTACCCTAGCCTATTTGTTGAGCTCCAGGCCAGTGAAAGCCCTTGTTTGGAAAAAAAAAAAAAAAAAAAAAACAAAAAAAAAAAAAAAAAAAACAAGATGAATAGCTCCTGAAAAACAATACTTAAGATTTACTTCTGGCCTCTACATAAGAATGCACATACTACACAACACATAATTCCTCAGTTACACTGGCCACTTTTTTGCTTTTGGAGCTTGGGGATGAACACTAGCTATAGTTTAAGCTCTTGGTAGCCCAGTGTGAGAGATGACTGCTGTAATAGATAGCATATATACAGAATAATACTGTTATTGCAGAAATCTTGAATATTACTATGTTGTTTGGAACTTGGGAGACAAATATGTAAACATCATTGATAAGGTGCTTGCTTGTTCATTGTGGATACCTTCTGGTGATATTGATGGTAAACAATATGGAATGTCAATACTAGGAGTAAAGATGACAGTGAAATAGGATATTAAAAGCATGCATGGAAACCGGTGCTGAGGAACATAGTTTAGGCTGTCAGGAAGAACTCTGAAGATACGGTATTTAAAAATTTAACTTAGTGAAGGAGCAATTTGGAATTTTTCTCAAATCTAATTTACTCTTCTGTCTTAAATAGCCGATAAATGTAAGACAGGAATAACTAAGTGCCACAATGATATGTGAATACAGATTGGATGCTCTAACAATTTACTATGATTTTAAAATTCATTTACATATTATGGCATTAGCAGAAGTACTCTTGTGGTGGGACCTTAATAATTAGATATTGGCATTATTAAATTTCTGCTTGTCTTATTAGTTTCTTTATATTTTGTCTTGTGTGTTTTCTAATCTTAATCTTTATTTCAATAGGAGTCATGGCTTCGAAAGAATTATCTTACTGATTTCAAACATCATTTTATGAGTCATTTTCCATATGCCTTAAAAGAAATAACCAAGCAACGAAAGAAAGAGACAAATAAAAGGTATTGCAGTTGTTTTCCATTGTGGACTTAAAGTGCTTCATATCAAAATTATTAGATAATAGCCTTAACCTACAACTTTATTTACTGTGAGGCATTTGTATCTAAATCTTTATGAAAATAAAAACTAGTAAAGAAAGGCTGATCTTGAACAAATCACTTTAAGCCTTAGGACTAGCAGTCTGTTTTGCTTTTAGAAATCTGTATAGATTTTGTCAGATTATCTAAATAGGAATTAAATAAAAAGCTGAAGCAGGTAGCTTATTAAAGTTCATCTTTTCTTTTCATATTTATACCAGGAAACCGATAATAAAACCAGTATTATCTTGAAAGAATAGAGAGAATTGGAGGAAACCAGAAAGGGTAATAGAAGGTGGAGTTTAAAAATAATTAAGACTAGAAAATATTTAAAAGTCTCTACTTTAAATGAGAACAGATGTGAAAATAGGTTCTGTAATAAAACTTGACACGTTAGTAGAAGCCGGAATAATAAAATTGTAATTTCCCCAAATGAGCAAACAATTGAAAGGGAACTTAAGATCTGTCAAAACACTCTTAAATATATCAAAAGAGACAGATGGAGAAGCACTGAAACTGAGCAGGGTTCAAAGACTTTGATCAAAATTGATAAGGTTACTGATTCCGTGAATTTTGCATAGATTCACTAACTTACTTGGCTTGTTACTATAAACAGGGTATTATAGTAAAGGAAAAGTATTCTAAGGCATATTCTTTGCTTTCCTAGTTAATGTTATTGACAATCCTAAGCAAGTATGTCAGGGTCTAGTTGGGTGCTGATCCCATGAGTTTTTAGGTTTAGTGAAAAGTCTTGCCTCAAAAAGAAAGGTATAGGGCCAGAAGGACCTGGCTCAGTGGGAAAAGCACTTGTCTGATGACTAAAGTTAGATCCCTGGGACCCAAATGGTAGAAGAGGCTAGACTCTTGCATGATGTCCTTTGACCTCCACAAGTATGGCACCTTTGTGCTCACACATGGTACATAATATAAACAAATACATTTAAAAAACAAACACCGTCAAGGAAAGACACCTCATGTCATCTGGCCTCCAAATACATTTTTGGAAGGAGTGTTTTTTACTTGGTGAAAAATGATTTTGATTTTAATATATGGATTATATAATTGGACCATTGATCTTCTTTTGTACTTTTTTGTTTGTTTGAGACAGGGTTTTTCTGTGTAGCCTTGGCTGTCTTGGACCCACTTTGTAGGCAGTGTTGGTCTTGAACTCAGAGATTCTCTCCTGCCTCTGCCTCCCAGAGCTCTGGGATTACAGGCATGTGCCACAGTGTCCACAGCTTCTTTTTTACATTAAAAAAAAGTTTTTATTCTTTGTGAGTTTCACATCATGTATCATAGATCCCAGTCCCACTCATCTTCTTATCCCTTCGTATCTACCCTCTACCTTTGTAACCTCCCCTCCCCAAAAGAAAACAAAACAAAAAAATAAAATAAGACATAAAAATCACCTCATCCTGCAAGTTGTAGTGTGTCACAATGTGTCCTACAGTACACCCTTTTGTCAACACATCTTTACTTGCAAATGTTCATTGCAATGAGTCATTGGTCTGGTTTGATGCCTCTGGCTTCTGCTACACCATCAATACTAGATCCTCACCAGGACTCCTCTCTGATACCCTGTTGTTACCCTGTGTTATGGAGATCCTGCAGCTTTGGATCTACTGGACTGATCCTTTGAAGCACTCCAGCACTTCATAGATGAGGTAGATATTGGGATGGTCCAACTCAAAGCCCTAGGTCTGGATCTGGGTGGAAGCTGAGTTGGGCACAAGCTCTCCTGTGCCCATGCCACCAGGGCCTGAGAGGTATCTGAGTCAGCCTGCCAACTCTCCTGTGTGTCTATACCACCAGAGTGAGCTCTCCACCATTGCCCAGCCAGCTCGCCCAGCACGCAGCCGGCAAAGGTCACGGCCAGCTCTTCCTTTTTCACGCCCTGGATGAGATAGGGTCACACTATGTAGCCTTGGCTGGCCCAGAATTTATATTTATATAGATTAAGCTGCTCTTGAAGGAGACTTGGCTGTTCTCTCAAGTATTGGGATTAAAAGCATAATGCCACAATATTTACTTTATGCATGAGCAAATTATGATAAGAAATTTGTGGTTCCTTTAAAATAGTTTTGAATTGAAGTAAAAGTAAATATTACTATAATGCCCCATCGAATACAAATACTTGCTTTTAAAAAAATCTTGAAGTGAGTTAGGATTTTCAGATCTTAACAAGTCTTGTAGAAAACCTATGAGTCCAGTAACATGTAAGGCATGTCCATTTGCCCTCCATGTAACACTAAGTAATGACCAGCACCATACATGCTGTAATTTGGTTTTGTTTTTCTTTTCTGTATTTTTTTAAATAAATTTGATTGTTTTATTAGCAGAACTATGGCCTAAAGTTCCTCAGTGTTTTGTCATCTTGGAAATTATAAATTCTACAAGGAAAAAAAACCCCTTTTATCCACTATTAGAACTATTTTAAGTGCTCAAAAGCAGCTATTGTTTATAGCTCTGTTTGTATTTGTTTTTAGCATCAAGCATTGCACAGTTCTCTCCAATAATGTAGATCATCTTCTATTGAACTTAACGCTGTCTGATATCATGGTCTCACTGGCAAATGCCTCAACTTTGAAGAATGATTCCAGTTGGATAGAGACAATAAGGAAATTTGTGACGGAGACCCTTAAAGGTGGTGTTAGGCTGAACAGTAAACAGCTGAACAGATTGCTTGGAGTCTCTTGGAGATTAATTCAGATGCAGCCAAACAGAGGTAGGTGGTGCAGGAGAGGAGCTCTGGTTCTAGCATAAATGCTGATTGCCATTACTCCATGTAGTTATTCTGGTTACCTGCAGGCCATTACAAGGCAGCCTAGTTTATAGTTTATAAGGTAGGTGGAAGTTTGGCATGGGCCCATTTTGAAGCAAACTGGTAAAGATGTGCTTCTTGGATGTGCTTATTCTTGCACTGTCTAGCTTAAAATTAAGTTAGTTTTGAAGTGAGTTAATTTTTCCCCCATTCAAATAAAAACTTTCATGTTTGGTTTTCTTCTCATTTACCTTTCTAATACCTTGGTTTTTGTCCTCTTCAGAAAAGTGATAATGTAATGTCTGGTTGCTTTGTCTTCTTGTGTGTCATACTGTTTCGTTGATAATCAGTTTGTGCTTAAGACAGCCTTGCCCCAGGAACAAAGCAGAAGTACTGTGTATGTGTAAGGAGTATCTGTTCATATGCAGAGTTGTCTCCTTTCTGTCCCCAGAGGCTACGGAGAGTCTCATTAAGGCAGTTTATGCACTGTATCAACAGAGGGGCCTGCTTCTTCCAGTCAGGACCTTGTTAATCAAGTTTTTCAGTAAAATCTATCAGAAAGAAGAACTGAGATCTTACAGAGTGAGGTACACATTTTATATTTTTTCTGTATTTTTTGCTGAGTTATTTTGTAAGCTGTGTATGCCAATATGATTAAGTCTTTGGAGAAAGTCTTATATGTTTTAAGCAGGAAATGATTTAAAATGTTATCAAGAACTCTTCATACTCCTAGGAAACTACCCATTATCTGAATGGACTAACCTAATGCAAGGCTGAAGTAATTTTATGGGGGCAGTGTATTAAAGTCATCAGTTTGTTTCATATGTTGTATAGTAGCTAAGACAGGATAAACAGCTCTCATAGACCTAGCTGGTGTTTCTTTACATTTAAAAATCATGTATTTTCTTAATTTAGTGAGCAAAACTGCCACAGCAATGAAAGGGGGGTGCCAGCATCTTACCTGTTTTCAAATTCTTAAATAAATGTGTTAATTGTATTATTTGTAACTTCTATTTTTACATTGAAATAGAAAAAAAATATTAGTTTGACTTAAGTCACTCTCCTTATGCTTGTAAGTTAACATCTTATCTTGTTCTTCCTTGGCCTTTATAAGATACCGAAGCAGAGTGCTATCCCGTTGGCTGGCTGGCCTGCCGTTGCAGCTGTCTCACCTTGGCTCCCGAAACCCCGAGCTGTCCACACAGCTAATTGATATCATTCATACTGCAGCATCACAAGCAAATAAGGACTTACTGAAAAGCTTACAAGCCGCTGCTTTACGAATTTATGGTGAGTGGTTGTTAAGTGGTGGAGGTCAGCCTTGATCTATTCCAGCAAGGAAGAGGGATGTTCAAGGGGAGCTCTTTAGATTTGCCTTTTGGTTCTCATTTAAACAAAATATTAACCAGTAAATTTATTTTTAAGTGTATTAGGATAGTTTTACCTTCTGAGTTCTCCCTACTTGTTTTTTGTTGTCTTACAGTGTAAATATAGTTCAACCCCTTTAAACTTGAGGTCTTCCTATCTGCCTCCAGTGCATGTCCCTCTATGCCCAATTTGACTTTTGACTTTTTTTGCATGTTAATTTATCTTTAAAACTATTCATAGATTTACCTAATAAAGTACTTTGAATTTTTTTCTGAGGCTTTGATTGCAAGATAGTTCTTTTGTTACTTGATCATAATGAATGTCATAGATGACTCCCATACTAATAATCCATTCAACTCTAGAATTGGCTTAACTACTTAGTATTTTGAAAATATTAAGAAAAGCTTATTGGCATATGTATTTATAAAACATTGATAACTTAAATTTATAAGATTTAGTACAGTCCTTAAACTATCATTTTATAATGTATAATTCAGTAATTCTTAAATATATTTTAAGGTGGTCCTTTACTACTGCTACATAATTCTAGAACATTTTAATCACTCCCAAAAGAAACCCTGTTTTTATTAGTCATCCCTTAGTCTTTCTAAAGGTTTTTAAAATTATTTTTAATTATTAGTCTATATTGGGTTTATGCCTATGAATACAGGTGCTCTTGGAGACCAAAGGTATCAGATCTCTCTGGATCTGGAGTTAGAGGCAGTTGTGAGCCACCTGATCTGGTCCTTGGAAGAGCAGTCACATGCTCTTCTCCTCTGAGCCTTCTTTCCAGACCCTCTGGACATTTATAAGTAGGATTATAAATAAAGGTCTTTGTGCATGTCTTCTTTTTCTTAGCATAATACTATCAAGGTTCATAACTGTTATGACAGATACCTAGTACCTTATTCTCTATTTCTGCTTTGTGTTGTTCCAGTATATTAGTACCACTGATGGACATTTCCATGTTTTATGGGTTGTACTGTTAAATATTGAACACAGTTGTGTACATGTGAATAAATGTGTACACATGTGGAGCCAACATTAGGTTTGCTAATTAGGTGCTAAATTAAGTTTATGCTGTAATTATTAGTGAAAATGCTCGTGTTTTACTGTTGTGCTTTGTTCTTAATCTGTTTTTATCCCCATCAAATTTTTTTGAAGATCTTTTTATGTTGTAAAATTAATAGTGTCAATAAGACTGAATAATTATGTCCAGTATTTTTATTAGACAGCTTAGTAAGCCATACTTGATGAAAAACTTTCGTATGTAATTGTTAAAATTGAAGTTCAACATAATTTGACAACCTTGAATTCATTGGAAGTCATCAAGCTACATAAATAATTAAATCTGTGGTTTGTGTATCTTTTATAGTTGAATTTCATATTTACCTACCCCACTAGATCCTCAAGAAGGCGCTGTGGTCGTTCTTCCTGCAGAGTCTCAGCAACGTTTGGTTCAGCTTTTGTATTTTCTACCCACTCTGCCTGCTGATTTGCTTTCTCGGTTAAGTCGGTGCTGCATTATGGGAAGACTGGGTTCAAGTTTGGCTGGCACACTTATTGGGATACTGTACATGAGGTATCACTGTGAAGTGAGCTTTTTTTTTTTTTTAAGTGTCTTTCCCCCTCTTCTCTTATGGGATAAAAATACAGAAGTCTTTTTTTCTTTTGTATTTTGAAAACAGGGCTTCTCTACATAGTCCTGGCTGTCCTGGAACTCATAATGTACATTATTCTGGCTTTGAACTCACAGAGATCCTCCTGCCTCTTCCTCCCAGCACTGGGATTTAAGGTGTGCATGTACTACCACACCTGGCTTTAAAAAGAAAAAAAAAATATTCACATTGCCAGTGTTGAAAATACCTTTCAACACTTACTGTTTGAATCATTAATTGATCCCCTGCCACACCCCGACAGCCAGAATTTCTCTGTAGCCCTGGCTGTCCTGGAACTTTCTGTTGATCAAGCTGGACTCTAACTTAGAGATCTGCTTGCCTGTGCTTCCCAAGTGCTGGGATTAAAGGTGTGTGCCATTATGCCTAGCTATCATTTGCTTCTTTTAATAAGCTTATATTTGGCTATTTTGAATTTCAGTGTAGTTCATAACTGCCTCACCTTTATAGCAAGAGCTATTCACAATTACTTTTGAAAATTCAAGATTTATTTATATGTATGCATTAGAATTGGTTATGTTTTTAAGAATTTGGAGCATTGATTAGTTTCCTGTGTTTTTCTTTGTTAGAAATAGAAAAAATTCGGTACTTTATTGTAAGCCCTTATTAAATGTTAGTCCTTTGAATTTTTTTCTCTGCAGTGCTACTATGTTATCTGTAACCAAAAGTAATTTTTCTTAATGGCTTCTATCAGAGGGCACCTGTTCCTTTGCTTCATTCAGTGTCTAAGATGCAGTTAAGGCCAGCTTTACTGAACTTGAGTCTCTGGAAAGTATGTTTAATACTCATCAGTTATAGTTCTCTCTGGTTCAACAGTAAAGGACGAGCTCAACAGTCTTGTTTAAATTACTTTCCTCTGGAGATTTGTAGTGATAGTTGGGAAATTGAATTAATCTTCAGTACTGACAATAAGGGTTCATGATCAGTAAAAGCAGATTAGTACTGGGTGGAGCTCAATGGTACAGTGCATGTTTAGGCCCTCTATGATAGGCTCCTTGTTTTCTCCCTCTTCTGATGTCTTGTCTCGTTTGCCTTTCTGAGTGAGGATTGATCATCTTATCCAGGGTCCTCCTTGATTAGCTTTCTTAAGTGTACAGATTTTAGTATGATTATCGGATATATTTAATATCCACTTATGAGTATCACTTATGAGCATATACCATGTGTGTCTTTCTGCTTCTGGGATACCTCACTCAGGATGATCTTTTCTAGATCCCACCACTTGCCTGCAAATTTCATGATTTCTTTGTTTTTAATTGCTGAGTTGTATTTCATTATGTAAATGTCCCCCAATTTCTGTATCCATTCCTCAACTGAGGGGCATCTGGATTGTTTCCAGCTTCTGGCTATTACAAATAAAGCTGCTACGAACATGGTTGAGCAAATGTCCTTGTTGTGTACTTTAGCATCTTTTGGATATATGCCTAGGAGTGGCATAGCTGGATCTTGTGGAAGTGCTATTCCTAATTATCTGAGAAAGCGCCAGATTTCCAGTTTTTGTAGTTTTGATCCCAGATGTTTTTGTTAGTAGGTTATTCCTTGTGTGAACGGCCTCATCATCTAGACATTGTTAGTGCTCATTTTTTCTCACCTTTTAAGGGGGATCCTTAGAATTGCTGCCTGTAGTTTTTACCATCCATTTACAATTTTTTAGAATTTGATAACTGCTCTCCTCCCCCATGCACACCAGTACCATTCTGGAATGTACACAGTGGTTAGAAAACAACCCACTCATGAATAGGGGTGCCATGTGGCAAATCTTTGTAAGAGTATTTGAGATGATTGATAACTACAGTGACTGTTTGCTGTCAAGTTCTAATGTTACATCCCATAGCCTTTCTCACTTCTTTCCCTTCTGCCCATGGTTTGGTTTTCCTTTGTCATTTTTGCATAATTAGTAGTGCTGCTCCCTCTCAGTGCTCTGGCATGGGTAAAGCTGAGACTTGCGCTCCTCATTTGTTCTAAGTCAGACTTTAAATGGACCTTCTACTTCCAGCCACTGGGTGGCACAGTTGCTTCCTATATATGTTAGTTATAAGAGGATGTCTTCTATCAACTCTTGTCCCTCCTGCTTTTTGTTCATGTCAAGTTCCTGTGATATTCTTCCATAGATATCTACATGTTGCTTTGAATGATGTATGAGAGTGCTTATTTAGTGCCCCTCCTCCTATTTAACACTATTAATACATAGAAATGTAGGCTTTGTTTTCTCCCTTGTGATGAGGTTGAGATTTAAGGTATGCACCACCATACCTGGCGAAATGTTTGTCTTATAGTGGTTAGGAAAATGAGGACATTTAAGTAAATTAGAAAAGCCTGATTCTGTCTGGCATTTATGCAGTTGTCTCCAGCCCTCTAGCCCCCCCCCCCCCCCCCCCCCAAAAAAAAAAAAAAAAGACAGACTGGTAATAGTTCTTTTGTTTCTTATAGATCTTCCTTTTCTGGATGGAGCCACTCGGTTAATGACTGCTTAATCACTGATGCAGACTATCTCAGCTTCTTATTTTCCATAGTTACAGGTAGTCACATTCACTTGCCAAGTTAAAAAGAGAATATACTGCTATGTTACGATAACACACTAGTTTCCTTAGACCATCCTCGTGGAAATATGGTGGTCTGAATGTGAAAGCAGTTAGCTTGCTGGGCAGTGTCTGGCAGTCTTAATCATTCTGAGAGCAGTTAATCAGGAGGGTCATTGGCAGATTCTGTGGGTTGGACTAAGTATGATAGAGCCAAGAAGGACATCAGAATTACGTTAGGTATCCATGTTCAAAGTTTGTGGTTGAATCCACCATCCCACTCCCCAAATAAAAAACTTAGAGCAAATAAGAATAATTGAAAAACATTTGAAGGGCTGTTGTCTAAGAACATACAATGTTTAATTTATTTGGAATGGAGCATATTGTTGCCTCTCTTTGTTCATTTGCTTTTATGTTTTTTGAGACAGGTCTTCCCTGTGAAGCTTTGGTTGGCCTGGAACTCAAGAGATATCCCTGCCTCTGCCTCCAGAGTGCTGGGATTAAAGGCACATGCCACCATGCTCCACTTATTTTCTTTGCTATAACTTACTGTTAATTGGAATGATTATGGCCCTTTTTTAAATTTCAAGAATAGTAAAGCTCCCAGTGAACATGGTAAAAGTGTTTTTTGCTGTGTTTTAGATTGGGTCAGATTATATCCTTTGCATGTATATGTAATGTGAATTTTATGGGGTTCTGGTACTAGGATTTAATTCCTTAAGACACTTAACGTTGCAGTAATACAACAGGTTAACAGAGAAGAGCTGTTACGGGTGTTGTGTATTACTGTTCTGCAGTTTATTTTTTAGCTGGCTCTCTCTGTCACCTCCATTAGGGTTTTCAAAAGAGGAGTTGGCCTGGCTTCAGAACCTTCGAGGAGTTCCTCATGTCATCCAGACATCGCTTTCCCCCGTGCTTCTGTACCTTACAGACTTGGACCAGTTTTTACACCATTGGGATATAACAGAGGTAATAGTGCACCCAGAAGGAAATTGTTCATTCCTGCTGTCCTGTTTGAGTCACCAGTGTTGGCCTTGTACTGGTGACATGTGTGAGATGATGCTAGACACAGAGCATGATTGAGAGAGGCCTTCCTGCTGGAGAGGACAGCTGTGCTTGTGGGCTGAATCCCTGTATTTTCAGGTGGGGGAATATGCATAGAGCTTCATGGTAGGGGATGAGTTTGTTTGACTTAATGAGAGAACTAAGTAGGGGTTGGCGTTTTTAAAATGAGTTGTTAAACAAAAATTACTCAGTAGTTTCTTTGATTTTAAAAATTGATGTGTAAGTTATTAAAATTAAACTTAAGGAAAAAGAATTCTTCCTTAGGTTTTGATGCCAGTGTACAAAACTTGTTTACAATTACTTAAAAGGAGATTCCAGTTTATATTTTGTATCTTTTATAAACTACTTAAAAACATAGACTGTTTAAATAACCAGTGTGTTCGGTATTTGTTAAGGAAATCTTCAGAAATATTAAATTTTGCAGATACCTAATAAACTTACAAGTGTAGTAAATCTTACTAGCATGTTTCAGTATTAGTGAAAAATGCACATTGAAACCATATGTTTGAACTAAGTTGTTTTTGTTTGTTATTTCAAGACAGTTTCTCTGTATTCCTGGCTGTCTTGGACTCGCCCTGTAGACCAGGCTGGCCTCAAACTTAAGAGATCTGCCTGCCTTTGCCTCCCAAGTGCTGGGATCAGAGACCTGTGCCACCACTCTGGGGGTTTAAAAAACACATTTTAACATGGAATTATAAGGATCGTGTTTTATTCCAAAAGGCAAAATTATCTTAAAAGGTTATTAATAGAACTACCTCCAAAAGTCACAGATATTATTGGTAAGGTTTTTCGTGTGTGTGTGTGTGTGTGTGTGTGTGTGTGTGTGTGTGTGTGTGTTTAAGATATACTCTGCCTGTAAATAGCTCATGCTCTTCTTAACCTCAGACCCCCTGAGGTTAGGATCACAGACATGGGTCACTCTTCATTTCTTAATTAACATTTGTCTCTGTTCCTGTGTCTTAGAAGGCTGTATTCTCTGCTGGCTGATGACTTTAATTATCTGAGAGGTGTTTGGCTGGGACAGTCACCTTATTATTTTCTGTAACACCAGGTGTCTAGGCCATACGTATTCTGCCTAGATCTGTCCATGTTCTTTACCAGGGCCATCTCTAAGTTTAGGTAACAACCCAACTCTTCTGTTTGGTTGTTGCTGACTTCTGTCTTGACCTTACTTGATGCTGGCCAGAAGGCTAAGTTCATACCAGTGACATTTATCCTCTACAACTCACAGTTCTTAGTATTGTGCTTTTTTTTGGATTTTTTGTAAATACTGGCTTTTAAAAAGTGAAAAGGATTAAGGGGAGCAGGGGCAGTTTCCGACATGAACCCGCTTGCCTGTTCATTGATTACTTCCCCCTGGTAGGGCTACCTAACCAGCCCACAAAGGAAGAGGATCGAGGCGGGCATTCCTGATAGGCTAGGGTCAGACAGTAGGGTAGGAGGACTCCCCTTTTCAGTGGATTAGGGTAGGGGAATGGGGGAAAAGAAGGAGGAAAAGTGGGACCAGGAGGAGATGAGGGAGGGAGGGAGCTACAATTTGTATATAAAGTGAATAAATTGTAAAAAAAAAAAAAAAAGGTTTGAGTTGTGTTTGGGCTATATAGAGCTTATCTCAAAAACCATGTTTTGATGGTTTTGATAGGATAAGCCATTTTGTTATTGAAATTTTATTTTTGGCCAGTAGGAGTCTGTGGTTACTGGAGCTCACTGACAACCATCTCTTTATAGACATTATGCTGTTGTACTTTCTATTAAACTTGTACTTCTCAGATCTGAAATAAATTGTTATATTAAAATGTTTTTAAAAAAGTGAAAAAATGAAATAGTGAAAAGGAATAGTATAACTAACGCAATAAATATATTTATATATAAATATTTATTTATTTATTTGTTTGTTTGTTTGTTTTGGTATTTTGAGACAAGGTTTCTCTGTGTATCAAGCCCTGGCTGTCCTGGACTTGCTTTGTAGACCAAGCTGGTCTCTGCCTCCCAAGTGCTGGGATTAAAGGCATGTGCTGTCACACCCGGCTAACTAACCTAATATTTAACAGTTGAGATTTACTTCATAAGAGATGACAGGAGCTAAGAAATCTTTCATTCTTAAGGCCTTAATTTAGGAATTTAGACCTAGATTTAGAAGCTGGGTTTCCTAATAATTTGTAGTAATTGTCATTTTTAAGATGATTCTGGTATATTTAAAATATCATTTGACACTTCAAAAAAAGTATTTTATGGAGATTAGTGGGTTAAGATTCCAGGCATTGGTTTGGCAGTGTCAGTTTGGTGAGTTAGACCTTTCTGGCTTTGTTTTCAGGAAGCTTTGAATTAAATGGTGATTTTCTGTACTTCTCTGGTTTCTAAAGTTTTTAAATATGTATATATGTGTCTAATATGTGTGACATATATATTAAAGCATATCATCTTTGTAAAGCCACAATCTGTCATGAAAGTGTGATCAACTGTTCCTGAGGTGAACATTTGGCATGGCCATAGACTATGTTGTAAGGTTGCTGTCTCTGAAATGTTAAGTCATAAATTGTGGAAAATTAGACTTAAAAATTTTAGTTTTTGAAGCTTTTTTAGCAAAAGTCAGTTTCAGCTTACAACTTTGTTGTATTTTAACTCCATCTTCATGTGAATGTATTTGAAGTTTACATGATCTTAGCATCTTAGGTGTAAAAATTTTATTTTTCTCATTTTGCCAAGTTATCAGTAGATTAGAATTCTTTATTTGTGTTGGGGTAGTGTTATCTGCTAGATGGAAATGACGTTTTTACTGAGGCTATTTGAGAATAGTATTCACAAAATAAAGTTTAGAAAGACAAAATAAATTTACAAAATAAAATTTAGAAAGCGAAGAGTCTTTATTCCTTCTGAACACACCATCTGTGTGTGTGTGTACACATACTTTTGGTTTTCTCTTTTATAAAAATAATACTGTATATGGTAGTCTGGACCTTGTATTTTTCACTTAGTGTCTTCCTGACCATTAAAAAGTAGTGCATTGTAACAGTAATTAACAGAGAAAGGTCCCAAAAGGAAGAGAATTCTGGAAAGTATAGCTTTCTCAAATGGAGAGTCCCTTTTTCCAAAAGTCTAGTAACAGTTTTAATTTGTCAGTTTTTAAGATACTAAATAGTTACAAAAGGCTTTTTTGTTGTTGAGTAATGCTGGGGTTGGGTCCCAAGTTCTTTAGCATGCTAAGCACACTGCAGCACTGAGCCATCCATATTCAACCCAGCCCCCAAAGAATATATTTATTTGTTATGGATAAGCAGAAGTGTAACAATTTCAGGATTTTCTTACAGTTATTTATCTTTTCCAGTAGTATAATGTCCTAAATTTTATCATATTTGTTTCTTCATAGTTTTGCCATAACTAAGTAGCTAACCGTGACCTATTCAGTTTTATGTGTTAAACTTTTTATAATTTGCTTGTATTAAATAGGCTTTTTTTTTTTGTGCCATGATTTTTTTTTTTTTTTTTTTTAGCAATTTATTTTTCTTTTTATGTATGTGGGTATTTTGCTTGTATCTGTGTCTGTAGTGCCAGAAGAGGATGTCAGGTCTCCTGGAACTGGAGTTACAGACATTTGTGAGCCACAGTGCAGTGCTGAGAATCAAACTCTAGTCCTCAGAAAGTGCAACTGAATCTCTTAGCCGCTGAGCCCTTTCTCTGGCTCCCTACTACAACATTTTATTGTAGTAAAATTCCTTACTGTTTATCATATTTTGCATATTTTTAGACTCTTACTTTATCTTTATGTGTATAGATATTTTGGTTACATGTATGTCTGTACTTCATGTGTGCCTGGTGCCCTTCCCTTGTAGCCCAGACAGGGCATCAGATCCCCTAGAACTGGTAGTGAGCTGCCAAGTTGGTGCTGGATGTTGAACCTGGATCTTCTGGAAGAGTAGTCAGTGCTTTTAACCCCTGAAGTATTTCTTCAGCCCATCTTCTGATTTTTTTGTTTTTTGTTTGGTTTGGTTTTTGTTTCTGTATAGCCCTGGTTGTTTTGTAGACCAGGCTGGCTACAAACTCAGAGCTCCACTCTTTTGTCTCTTGAGTGCCTGGTAGAAAGGCACATGCCATCATGGCCTGTGCTTTGGTGGTGTGTGTTTGTTTGTGATCATTTATAGGTTTATAGATTTTTGGAGGTGGGGTGGGGAACCGGCAACCATTATTCCTCCAGGAGTTTTCATTCCTTCTGAGTCTGGAATTAAGACTTCTCAGTGCTCTCTTTCTGGTAATCACTAATTCTTTCAAAGTTTTTTCCGCCCTTCTCAATGTATTTGTGTTTTGAGACTCTTTTTTTTTTTTAATAGTATTATCGGTTTTCATGTCTTTATAATGCATCTTAAAATTGACCTAATAGTTTTCTAAGTTGTGTTGTTTTCGTGAACAGCGAGTCCTGTGGTCTAGTAGGGTGTTTCTGCTGAGGTTTCGGCAGCCTGCATGAAGTCTAGGGTTTTGGATGCTTGCGTTGCCTCTGAACTTCTGGGAACTGATGTAGCCTCTGGGATTCTGTTTACCAGGGTAGCCGGTGGGGTTTCTGAATATGGATGTGGAAGTGAGGGAGGGAGGTGGTTCTGTTGGGGACAGCTGGGCAGGCTCTCATGGTATGCATTTTCTACTAAGTAATTAGAAGGCTTTTGTTAACTATTAGATCCTGCTCTTTGGGCTTTTCTGTTGTAGAAATATAGTCTCCATCTTCCTAAGCTATTTAAAAACTAAATGCTTTTGTAGATAACTTGATTGATGTGGTATTGTGTTTGTGTTTATGATGTCTGTTTGATCCTTGTCACCTGTTTAAAGTCAAAGTTTTGTTAACCTGTTTGTTACTAATGGGTAAAGTTGGTTTAAAAGTTGTGTTGATCTTTGTTGTTTTTAATTCTTAAAATCTCTGATGCAGTTACTGTTTTGTTTTCTTTTTCTGACAGGCAGTTTGCAAGATGTCAAAGCTCTGGCTTCGGGCACGAATAACCAATAAACTGTGACAAACTGCCATCAGTAAGCATTTGGTAAATATCCTTAGTTTTGTGTTTGTTTGTTTTCTTAAATAAAATGCTGTTTTCCAGGAATCTCATGGCATGATGTGGTAAGAACTTCTGCTGGCTGTTGATACTTAAGTTATGTCACTAGGGGTGGTGTTGGGGAGTGAGTAGAGGGTGGGGATGCATTCTTTTCCTAAGACCTTATTTTCTGGATTCATAAAATGAGGGACCTTAACATTGAAACTAGTTGCTTCTGACTTACTGTCAGTAAGTGTGTTTGGGACCCACTGGACGGATGGCTTGTGGTTTAAAGGTGACATTATGGGGCTTAGCCATTGGAAGCAGTGGGCTCAGCTTGGAGACTGACTTCTAACCATTGGCATTAAGTTCACATTTGTATGCCTCCACCAGGGCTTTAACTTCCTCTAATGTTTATATTTTTACTTTGGAGCTTTAGAATATGTTTAATTACAAGGGAGACCTCTTAAAATGTATTTTTCTAGGGACTCACTTTTTTGGTTAATGTTACAGTCCTGTCCATAACCCTTTTCCTCCTTTAAGATGAAGTTACCCTTGAACTGGAAGAGACTGCTCTGTGAATTCTAAGTGCCCTTCTTTCCTTGCTATCAGACTTCCAGTTCTTACTCTCTATTGTCAAAGCTATATACCTTTTCTTTCTTTTTTTTTTTTTTTCTGGCTCACCAATCCCAAAGGGTTTTTGCTTTCCTGTTCCCACATTTGTGGTAGGAAAGAGTTAACAATTCCAGATAATCTTGGCCTCCATTTTCATGCTACCCTTTGGAGGAGGTTCCTAATAACTCTTCAGCTGTTTCCAGATCTCTGTCCATACAGTTACAGCTCGTATTCAACCTTCCTGACAGTGTACTCCTGTGGTCCTGAATGAGTTTACCATAATGAACCTTATCTAGCTTTCAGGTTTCTTTCCAGTGAGTAGTTGAATGTTAAATATAGTACCTCTTACTGATTCCTGTGGATGCAGTTTCCTTATTTGTGTCTAAATGGCTGAAGGTCAGAAGGCTGAATGTAAAAAGGGTTCTATTTTAGCATGTAGAATAGAAGGTGGGACCCAATGAACAGTCTTCTATTTTGAATACTTTTAAGAAATAACTGTGATTGTTAGGATCAAGACTTTTTTGGATGTGATAAAAAAAGCATTCCTTTAAGTAATGCTGTTTCTGACCAGTGATGGATGTAGTGTTTAAAACTTGTAGATGTTTGCTCCATGAAAGGGATGCAGTGCATGGATTGCTTCAGTAATACTACTTAGGCCTGGCTCTGGCACTGTGCTGGAGTGCCTACCTATTGGTGAGTTCCTGAGCCCTGGTTTCAGTTCTCAGTGCCTCACACACAAGTTACTTCTTCATGCAAAGTCTTTTTGTTTGGAATTAACTTGTCAGTAAAATTGGGCCTTAAAGTGCAGCAGGTAGCAGTTACATGGATGCTAATCTGAGATGGCCTCACACACATGCTCTAGTTAACACACTTTGCTTTTATTTGGGGGGAGAGGGTTTTGTGAAGAGGTAATTGATCTCACTTTTGTCCACTTAGGTTGGGTTGACCGTAATTCCTGACAGCACAGCTGGCTGTATATTTGGAGTGATGTGTAAGCTTCTGGATCATACATGTGTAGTTAGTGACAGTCTCCTGCCATTCCTGGCTTCTTGCTGCTACAGCCTTCTTTATTTTCTGCTTACTCTAGAGAAAGGGGAAGCAGAACATCTGAAAAAGAGGTAATATTTATTTTATTTTTCAATCTTAATCTTTTCCCTTCTGTTTCTCTTCTCCCTAAATAAGAGTGGAGAAGAATTAGATTTTAGAACTAGTGTAAATTCATTTGGTGGGCTTGTATAAGCTTTGGTAGTTTTGTGTGTGTATTATGAATCTTTTGTGTTATAGCAAGAATTCTTAGGGATTTTAACTTTTTTTATTATGCTACAGAATTGAAAAGTCAGATGGTATTACAAAGTTTCTGGAGAGCTTTTTTTTTTTTAAAGATTTATTTATTTATTATTGTGTGCAGTGTTCTATATGCGTGTACCCCTGCACTCTAGAAAAGTGGCACCGGATCTCACTATAAATGGTTATGAGCCACCATGTGGTTGCTGGGAATTGAACTCAGGACCTCTGGAAGAGCAACAGAGCAATCAGTGCTCTTAACCTTTGAGCCATCGAGCGTTATTATAGGTCCCACACCAAAAAATTTTAACTCTAAAGACACGAACTATAGTACAGTTTTTAGTTGTTTTGTTTTTTGAAAGCTTCAATAGAGCTAGTCAGGGTAGAATTTTAATTTTGGGATTTAAGAAGTGTTTAAAATGCTGAAGTACTTTTACTCCTATGTGATATTTAAGATAGAATGTTGGAAGAGTCTACTATAGGTTTAAAGTGTTTTCATGTTTACAATTTCATTGGTGTACTTGTTGAATCAGATGAAAAAAGTCTGATAAGTAAGCAAATAGAAAAAATAAAAATAATATTATTTTACCTTCTGTTAGTGTTTTAACGTGTGCATTTTCTAGTTTTTCTTTGTGCTTCATTATTTGCTATGGCTGTGGATTCTTTTTCCAGACAGTCTTGCTGGCCTCAGCCTCAGAATCTTGTGTCAGTTTCTTAGGGTTGGCACTGCAGGCATGCACCTTCATGCCTGTGGCCTCTTCCTTCGAACTTGTAAATGTCCTGAAGATGCAGCTATATAAATTCCATGGCTTAAAATAGTAATAACAAACTGAGCCATCCATGTAATGCATTCCTGGGCATATGTATAGACCCACACCACCTGCACACAATACACAGTGGAGGTCTTGGCTTCTTCTGTGTGTATCTCAGTCACTTTAGTGTTGATAGGTGTTCTGGCTTTTTAAGTAGTGGTTCTGTGTATGTTTGTGAACAGTATTAATTCTGTTCTTCATATTTGAGGATTTGATAGGAATTATCTTGTTCATATTTTTGTCTTTTTGGTATCAGTATTATCTGTGGTCGTTTGTGTTGATTCATTTAGTTCTATTTCATTTGGTTTTATTTCTCTGTACCAAGTTAAGCATCAACAAAGTTCTTTAATGGGTTTGATAGCAAATTCAGCTTTTCAGGGCCATAAGCTCTCTGCTGTAGGTACTTAGCACTACTGTATAATGTGAAAGCAGTAGTAGAGAATACACAAATAAATGAATGTGGCTGTTTCCAGTAGAACATGGTTTACAAATAAAGGCTGTGGTCTGGGTTTGGCCTGCTCTGCAGTTACTTTGATCTGTAGTATTCTCTTCTGTGAATATGTTAGAGCTTGTCTCATTATACTATTTGTACTTAGTTCACATTTTTTTCCCATTAAGACACAATTCTTTCTAAAATGACTATTTCACTGTAATATTATAAAACCGATACATAGTGAATGTAGAGTTGGTGTTATCTAAGGTTTTATAACATCCCCACTTAGGACTTCACTTGTAACTGCTGTTTGTCATAGTCTGTTACTTGAAACATAAACCCTTTTTATTAAACAGTCTTAAGTTTCAAAGATCTTTGGAGCTTTTAAATAAAGGAACATTTTTACTTTATGTGACTAGACTGGACAAAACTGAGTGTATGTAGTAATTTGTTCCCCTTTAAAGGATCTTTGTTCTAGAAGTCTCACTTTGTGCCATGGCTGGCCTGGAACTGGCTACGTATACCAGGCTGGCCTTAACATCACAGAGATCTTTGATTCCCATAGATTAGCTTGAAAAGTCAGGCTTGAGCAAGCGGGGGTGACAGTGTGCTACTGAGCCTTGAAGATACTGTTCTTTCTTTTGTCTCATTGGCTCTTTGTTACTAATGAAAATCTGCTGCTTGCCTAGCCACTTTGTTTGTATGAAGAAGTTGTGTTGTAAATCAGGATGTATTCTTCCATGGCAATAGGTTTGAATCCACTAGAAGACTCAGGATCTTTTTCTTCATTCTGGGAAATTTTTAGTTATTTTATTGCTTTCCCCCATTGTTTCTTCTTAGTTTTTCTGAAAATTCTATTTTAAACATAGGGAGGTGTTTATTTATTTTTGTCTTTTACCATCTTCCAGTATAATTCTCTTTGAGTTAACCCTCTCATTGAGCATGCACTTGACCAAGTTTTGTTACTTGTTTTTCTTTCATTTGCTCCTGTTTTGGTATTTTGCCATTCTCTTTGTTGGTATTACTTTAAAATTCTTTTGGTGCAGAAATTTTTCTTATATGGAGAGTAGTAAGAGGGACTCTGAAAATTGTCTTTTACAGGGCTAAGCAAATTCTGTGTTGGGTTGTGTGCCTTTTTTCTTACTGTGTATTTTACAGGAGTTTACGAAGACCTCCCTATATGATAGTTTCACATTTTCCTTTTTCTGGCTTTCCACATTCTGCATGGAGTCTAGTTCAGATTACTTGCCTCCTATACCTCGGGCCTGGAGCCTGTGTTCCAACAGTGGTTAGTTATTTGAAGTCCACCTAAACTCACAAGTACAAAGTGAGTGAATAGTCATGTGCTACAAATGCTTCAGGCAGTGAGGACTGTTAGGGGAAGGGTGTGATGGAACTGAGAGGTTGTCATTGCTTAGTGGCATAGTAGCCATTGTAACATTGTATATGTTACTCATGTTCATGCTGCTGCTGCCTAGACAGACCTACTGTGTTGCTAGTTGGGCAGAAGTGCAGCACAAGCCAGGTGTGTGCATGACTGTTAGGCAGAGGCAAGGTACTACAAGTTCCAGCCTGGCATGTGAGTTGTAGGACAGTATAGTGACATGCAGACATTAAAACAAGATAAAAATGACATTGTAACATTTAAGTACACAGTACTTGAAGTCTTTAGTGCCATAGCTTCATATCTTGTGCTTACAGCATCTCTTGATTGTATTATGAAGCTGTGTACCAGGTCGTGCACATGATGGCATCATCTAACAATACCTTTCTCAGCATCCATCCCCACTGTCAGATGACCCAAAATTGTAGTCTTTATGCCTTTGTCTTATTTTTAGCTATCCAAGAGCCTGACTTTCCTCGTTTCTCCTTGTACATGGCTATCCCTGTTCTGTGTCAGTACGTGGGCTAGTTCATATACTCATAGATCATATTTATCATAAACTTGTTTAGTGGCATGGAAGTGACCATTTATTTTGTGACCCACTGTTGCAGTAAAGGTCCCATTATTAGCTACTTTCTGAAGTCTTATTTGGGGTCATGATGAACTAGTTTTTCTCTCTGGAAATCAGCCCTTTCCTTTGTTCTGTGATACTGACCAGACTATGAACCAGTCATAGGTTTTAATTTCATCTGTGGATTTTTGTTCTTTCTTGGGTGCAGTAGTCTTCAGATGTCTGCTGCATTGTATAGTAATTGGACAGTGTCTAGTGTTGATGGTTGTGTATGTGTAGATCATTTTGTTTTCTGGCAAGCTTTGTGCTATATGTAATCACTGTGGCTTCAGGATGTCTATAAGTCTAGGGAAATGCTGATTACTAGACTTTCTAGCAGCAAATTCTTAGTAGCTTTACTAGTTATGGTTTGCTGTATTTAGTTTGAAGTTTGTTTTATTGAGGTAGGGTCTATTAAGTCCAATCTAGCCTAGAACTCATAATGTAGCCTAGGCTGGGCTCAAAATCAGTGACACTCCAAAACAGTGGGATTATAGGCATTGAGCTATCACACCTGGCAAACATTGTATTTCTAGAAAGTCCATTTTAGTTTTGGGTAATGTGGAAAGAACATTTCTCTTGTGTGTTGGCTCACTGACTCTTTTTTTTCCTCCCCATTACTATAGGGACAAGTTGTGGGGGGTTTGTGTCTCCATCCTAGCTCTCCTGCCTCGAGTCCTCCGGTTGATGCTGCAGAGCCTACGGGTGAACAGAGCTTCTCCTGAGGAGCTGCCTGTTGTGGGCCAGCTGCTTCGCCTGCTGCTTCAGCACGTGCCACTTAGGTCGCACATGCTGACTAATGCCATCATAGTGCAGCAGATTATCAAGAATATCACGGTAGGCAGCATGGAACCCAATGCTTTGTCCTCTTAGTGGAGGAGTGGACTTGTGGGAGGGCCAAGGGATGCTTTTAAGAGAGTGAAGTTCTTGTGTACCATTTGCCTCTTGCAGTTCCCCAGCACCTTCCTTGTCTCTGATTCAGAACTAGCCTTTTTAAAAATACAGTGTTAAAATATTAAAGAAGAAGGTGACACCAGAGTTCATTTGGTATAAGTGCTGCAGCTCTGAGGGAGTCAAGGAGGACCACAGAGTCACAGGAGATGTATTGGGAAAGACACAAGAGGGTTGCTGTTCAAAACTCATGTTTAAAAATAGGGTTTCTTGGGGTGGGGTGGAGCTTTCCAGGATGGTCTGAGTTTAGAGAAGTGTGCCTTGATGTTGGGTTTTTTTTTTTTTTCCCCCCTTAGGGCAGGACCTGGCTACATGCTCTCCTTCAAGGGCTTGGAAGGCTGTTAGAGAAGTAGGGAGTGAGGCCTAAGCTGCTGTCATGCCTCAAGGGCCTTACAGCTAGAGGTTTAGGCACTAGAGACATAGCTGTCAGGATTGTGAGACTGTTACTTTATGAGTAACAGTGACAGCAACTCTTTTTCTTCTGTAGTCAAGCTTATTTTTCTGTTAAAGTAGGATGAATACAGGTTTTGGTGACTGTTAAGAGAGAATATTCAAATAATTTGCTTAGTTTGCCTGACATTTATTAAGTGCTACCTTATTGTTTCACATCATTAAAGAAAAAATTTAAATTCAGGCAATTTTATTAAAGTTTGAGAGGAAAAAAATTGTACAGTCAGGCTGTACAATTTTGTGGCAGCTCTGTGAAGGAAGGGAAGAGAGAAAAATCATGTGTTTAGTTAAGGGTCTGAGAAAGCTGACTGAGCTTGAAGGACACTTGGCAGAAGTTGTGGCATCTACGAACAACAACAACATGAGGAGGCCCAGCATGTCATGGCCCAGGCTTTGGCCAGTATCAAGAAAGGATGAGAAAAAGAAGGGAAGAGTGAAGGCTTCATCCCTGCCTCTGCACTGGCTGTTGGGAGGGGTTGTGTTTTGTAGGTTTCCCTTAGGAGAAAGATTGTGAGAGAGATTGTGTATAGGTGCTTTAGGGTTTATTCATTGAAGTGTAGTTGCACTTCAGCATCATAGAGCTTTTATCCTTTTAATAGGTATTTGCTCTGAATTTTCTAGTCTTTGTAGAAACAGTGGACAGTGTGGCAGTGGGATAATTCAGAACATTATAAGGGGAAAAAGTCAGTAACTGATTATTACCATGCCTAGATTTGAGAATCAACTTACCTCTACAAAAGAGAGAGATTTACTTGGCCCTGCAGAATTAGTCCTGTCATTATATAAAGATCATGAATACTAGCCAGGTACAGTGGCCCACGGGAGACAGAGGCAGGCGGATCTCTGAGTTCAAGGCCAGCCTGGTTTACGAAGTAAGTCCAGGACAGTCAGGGCTACAAAGAGAACCCCTGTCTCAAGAATCCCCAACCCTGCCCCCCCTAAAAAAGAAGAAAACTGATGCTAAGGGATGGATGGTTGGCCATACATTTTATTATTTATAAGTTACACTTAAGAGCACATATGGTTTTCTTATATTGACCAAGTAACAGATCCAACTTAAAGGACTTATTTTATTTGACAGTTTGAGAGGGTAGAGTCTGTTATCACGGAGTGAGTCTGTTACGGAGTAAGCTCTGTGGCTGGGGTGCATCTGTGGCAGTGGGAGTTGCTGGGCAGCTTTTACATCTCAGTGAGTCAGGAAGTGGAGAGCTTGGGCCAGAAGTAGGCTCAGTGTCCAAAAAGTTCTTACTTCTTAACTTCCAGAGCAGCAACACTAGCCGAGACCAGTTATTGAAACACCTGAGCTTGTGGGATCCATTTCAAAATTTCATAAAAAGGAATTCACTGGCTTAGTAATGCCCAACAGTTAGTTGTTTTCTGTATTTTAAAAAGACTTCTGGTTTATGTAAGGGGTGGTGGTGGATACTTTTATGGAGGTGATGAAAAATGTCAGGTAGTACAGATCTCAAACTAAAGTACCTTTTGTTTTTCTCTGCAGACTTTGAAGAGTGGCAGTGTTCAGGAGCAGTGGCTTACAGACTTACATTACTGCTTCAGCGTGTACATCAGTGGCCATCCCCAGGGGCCTAGTATATTGAATGCATTGTATTAAAAAAGCACATGGTACCTCCTGTTTGAAACTGTTCATGCATATCCATTTATTTTGAAGAGAGACTGATGTAATAGATGTTTGTCATTAAAGCTAAACTTTTAAAGAAGTTGTTCATGAGCTACCTTCCTACATAAGTGTAAAAATGAGGTCTAAGAGGTCTTAGTGATTTCATACTTTGCCTGGACTAGCACATGGTACGAACACAAGCAGTAGAGGATTTTTAATTTCATAAGTGGTAAATGTTTACAACACAGAGTAATCTATGGTGCCTTCATTCTCTTATCAACAAATTAGCTGAATCTTTGTAATCCCATCTAGGTAAACCTGTTCATAGTTTTGAATATAATAACCTAAACTAAAACTGTCTCAAACACTTTCTTCCTGTACTTTAGTGTTAGCACAGGGGTGGTCTGATATCATTCGGGCCTCTGTGAAAGCCGAGTACTCTTAGAGACCTAGAAAATGGGTTAACTTTCACAAAAGAAACTGCATTTGGGGAAAGCTACTTATTTCTGCAAGTTGGTCAGAAGATCCAAAGGGGATCAGAAGCCTGTAAACCCTGTCCTACTGACCTCTTGATGTTGTGATTTTGTTGGTGCCACTCAGCAGTGAAAGCAGAGAGAGAGAGAGACTAAGCATGGCTGCATCTTGTAGTCTTTGAGGGCAAATTTGGAACCTGGAAACTTTCAACAGTGTGCTTGCAGTCCCACTTCAATACAATGGGCACTTTCTCAATGCAAATACTAGACCATGATTTTCATCTAACGTTTAAATGTCTGTTGTGCTATTTGTCGTAGTATGTTCCAGGCAGGTAAGGAGTTGAAGGTGGCTGCTGTGGCGCAGGTTTCCCATCTCATTTAGGTAGGTAAGTTCTCTAGAGTGAAGAAACTAGGCCTGTGCCAGTTAGCTGTCGAAATCCTACAGCCACTCCTTTAGTGCAGGTGTTGTTAGCACACAGATGAATGTCAGTTTGCATCTCCAGCCGTGCGCTGACTGAGAGGCAGTCCATACAAGCAGGCTGCTCAGGTCCTTTCACTGCAGAGTAGAAGCCAGGAGGAGATGTGAACACGTCTTTGAGTTGCTACCACATAATCTGGTAGTAAGGCTTTAGGTGCAGGCAGTAAAGCTTTCTCATGAGTAAGTCACAGAGAGCAGAGCTCCACACTGGCTCTGCTCTTCCTCCTGGGTCAGAGCTTTGGCTTGTTTTTTGATTGACTGCCTGGTTGCAGGTTGTAAGAAAACTTTCTTGATTTTCCACTGTTGTCAAGGTGTATAGACTGCAAACTGTTCACTGTTAAAAGCAAATGGATAGTTGTATTAGTGAAGAGAGGAGCTCTGTGGTGAGGTACAAGGATTTGGGATAGGGCTATCCTCGGAGCCAAGAAAGGTAGTGATGAACCAGGTACGTGCAGATGACTAGTATTCCTCACCTCACTGGTACAGGTATCTATCTCTTTGAAGCAGTAACTGGATTGGGAGGGGCTGTGAGTGGAAGCTAGATCTGTAAGTCTACCAGAAAAAATAGGTTTGTCTGGAGAGTTTAAGGGACAGCATATAGATAGGAATCTCAGACCTCAAAATTCATTCATTTATTCATTTATTTATTAAATTTTGAGACTGTAGCCTAGGCTAGCCTTGAACTCACAACACTCCTGCCTCAGTCTCCTAATAGTTGGGATTACAGGCCTGTCAAAATAGATTTCTTGAGGCCTACCTATGACCTTGGAATAACTTTTTCAGAGTGCAACAGAAAACAGTTTCTACATCACATGAAGACATTTTTCGGTATTCCACTACTAACTGCACATGGAAGATTAAGATGTAGGCAGTTTGGGAAAAGAAACATACCTTAATTTTCCCTGGTTTTAAAGTATTGCGTTTGGGACATGGGCACTTAAACTGTGTCTTCAAGAGAGTTGTCATTTGCATTTCCCTCCAGAGGTGGAGGAATATATTGGGTTCCTACAGAGTTGCTATTACCAGTAACCACATGAGCCATGGTCATTCCTCTTGCTAGTGGGGAGCTTTTATTTTTATTTTATTTTAAAGAGATGGGCACACGTTTTCTGTATCAGTAAAGAGCTAGGTTGAAATCCTGTGTGTGATGGTGAGGGTGTAGAACGACTGCAGAAAGCAGGGATTGCTTATTTGGGTCTCATGCATACAAAGCAGTAGTCCAGGGGGGCTGCACTTGGGATTGCCATCAGTTGCTGCCTTTCTATGTGCAAAGCCTTAGGAGAGCGCTTCGCAAATTGGAACAGCAACATGTACACTGTGCAAAGCAATTTTAAAGAATTGAATACCCCACTGAGCAAAATCAGAAAACCCTTAGCCCCACTGAATTCTTAAATCAAAAAGCAAACTAACAATTCAGTCAAGTTAATGCTTTCCTTTGGGGTTCAATCATCTGATTCCATGTTTTAGGACCTTTATTATGTATGTTCAGTTCACTGAAATGACTTACAGACTTGTTTCTGTTAAATATGTTTAGACCAGTTAAACTTTCACACCTTTCTGACAGGTTTTACTAGATGATTCGTGTTTACCGTGGGTATGGTTGCGCTTAACAACCTGTGTTCCCCAAATTTGGGGTTAGATAAAAATTCCATTTTATTTGATTTCAAATAAGTCAGAAAATTGTAGTACAGAGAAGGTGCTTGTTATATGAAGTCTTTAAAAAGTGTTAAGTATTGTATATTATATTAAGTATGGTGTAATATTGAATGTATTTACTCGGTCTTTCCTCTTAAGAACCTCTGTGCTGCTAAACATCTTCGTTGTTAAGGACTTGTGGTAAATCTGGATTTGAGAGAATGCTCTCATTACCTCCTTGTATTTAATTATATCTGAATGCCATATATCTAAATGTAATATCATGTGACAGCTCTGCTTTTGAAATATTTCTCAAGTCCAGTATAAGGACAGTCTTGTCACATCTGTGGCCCTTGATTCCTTTGAAAGTTTCTGACCACCCCACCTGCTACTCTGTGATCAGCCTGCCTTGTGTTACACAAATTAGCCATCTCTTATTAAAGATTTTGCAGTAATTACTCTGCTTTTCCCCACCGAAAACTAAATGAATGTTAAAGTTCATGCTGACAGTCACTGTTCACCTTCCAGCTGCTGTTTCTGCGGGATGGCCCTGTAGATCAGGGAGGGCGGGGGAGGGGGTTGCCATAGCCACCTGTGAAGATAGGCCAGACTTGGCATTAGCTGCTGACAGCCCTGAACTTATCACCCACTTTTAATGCTGGCATGAAGGAAGAGGCCCTGAGTAAAACTCACATGTCTTGTGAGGGAAAAGAAGTTCCCTGTGCTGCTGCTGTGGGTGGAAGTGTGCTATTGAGCCTGGGCAGAATATGTTTAATGTTTGTGGTGGTCTTATCTGTGGTAAGGTGAGGGTACTGAAAGTGTGACAAGGATTCCAACATATTCCTTTGAAGAAAGTAATGTAGAAATGAAGAAAGAATGTAAAGGGGACCAATAATAGCTGCCATTTATTGTTTCTATTGTAGGTAATATTAATCATAGTTCAGCTGTGAAAATCATTTGCCTCTTAAAGATGTTGATGGCAGTAATCCTTGGAAAAGGGGATTAAAACACCTATACTTGAAGTCAAAGGACGACAGGAAAATTCATCCCGTGCTCTCTCCCCATCTACAGTGGTGTCCTTACCTGAACTGAGATGCAGCACAGGAGGGACTCTGGGACATTTGTTAGGATGAGAACCTGCAATCAACCAACACACAGTCACCTGTCTGATTAATGGCTGCCGAGACCTGACCCAGTTCTGAGTTCCTCATTGAGGCGAGGGCTTTCAAGGTGTCTTCCAACATAAACTAGGCATGGTGTGGAAATACGGGTTGAATATCCTTTATCTGAAAAGCTTGGGACCAGGAATGCTTCAGATTTTGGAGTGGTTTTGTTATTAGTTGTGGGGTTGATTTATTTGGTTTAGGGATATTTGCATGGATTTTTCTAGCTGAGCATTCCTAATCCAAAAGTCCAAAAGCTGGAATTATACAGAATTGGAAACTTAGTGATCATAGACAGGGGATGTTGGGAATGGACAAGCGCTGAATGCTATGTAAACGGCATAGGATGCTCCTGCAGGTACCTGGGCCCTGTTTCTCTTTAGGAGCTACCCAGACTATGCAAGCACACCTGAACTGCTGGTTTATTCTGAGGGCTTTTTGCAGAGCTGGAAATACTTCAGTCTACAACAACTCATCTGTTAAACGGTGACTGGGTTGTGGGCATTTGCATAGGCAAGCAACACTATGCTACCTCAGTACAAGAATGGCCAAAGTGACATAGGGGCTGAGAGTCTAGGAGGCGGGTAATGTGAGAGGAGGGCCCAAGCAGAGGTCAGAGATTCAAGTGAGGCTTTTAGTCTTGGGACCAAAAGGGGCTCTTGGCATTAAAGACTAGTGAAAATTCTGGTACTTGGAAGTAAAATATTTCCCAAAATCTGGATGGAGGGTTATCCAATTAAGTCTTATTGCAGGCTGTGGCATGACACTGGTCCTGAGGTTTTCCTAGCAAAGTGCCCAGAAGAACACTTACCGTAGATCTGCCTGAGCACTGACTGCCTGGCAGACTTTGTGGCCGACATGCCTTTGGATAGACTCTTGGGCGTTCTGCTTACTGAGATGGGCTTTGGGAACTTGAATTCCAGTTCCTTCTGCCAAACCTGGAGGAGCAGGGCTGTGCACACTCGGGTACATCTGAGCACATCTCCGGCTCCGAGCTGCTTCAAATGCAGAAGCCGAGACAGGTGCTTCCTGAGTTGGTAGCTGGTAGGTCACAGAGAACAGGCTTTAGGACAGTGCCAAGAGCTATGGGAATCAGACTTGTTTAACTTAATAGGAGGCTCAGGCAAGCTCCCATCCCAGTTTCACTCTTCATGTTAAACATTGAGAGTCTTAGACTAGGATTCAACTGGGTAAGTCCTAACCTTCCAGCAACCTTAGGTAGGTGGAAATCAGCACCTGCACTGAGGGTATCATGCAAGAGCCAGGAGCTGGATGTTGAGGAGGCTTTCCATCGATGCTTGGTACTCCATTGGGTTTTAAAAAGGGAGTAGGTGCTGACTAGACAGAGAAAGGTATTTTAGTAATGGGGCATTTGTGCCAAAAGATGTCAAATCACCAAGAGTTTGGTTAGCAAAAGGAGGTAAGGCTGAACTACACTGTAAGGAGCCAGCATTATTAATCATGCTACATTCCAGGCACCCTCCTCTGGTTTGAGTCCTGGGGAAGCAATCTTAGGACATTCGTTATGACTGAGCATCTTGATGTGATTGATAATGAAACCCAGAGGTTTCTGACCTATCACTGTTGATAAGTTTGCTCTGCTCACAGTGGGGGCATATGGAGTGTTTTAGGAGAGTCACAAAGTGTAAAATGATGACCCTGTTGGGAGGTAAAGCCTGCCTGTCAGTAATGATAGCAATGTTAGTGTGTGTGTGCTGGGTTCTAGATCATATGTACTTGGAAATTTCTCTCTTTTTGTTTCTTCGAGACGGGTTTCTCTGTGTGGCCTTGGCTGTCTCGGACTCACTTTGTAGATCAGGCTGGCCTCGAACTCAGAGATCCACCTGCCTCTGCCTCACTGAGTGCTAGGATTATAGGCGTGTGCCCCCTCATCCAGCTGTACTTTCGAGTATAACTGTGTTGAACCATTTAAAGGCGAGCTTCATTAGTGTTCATTTGTAGCATTATGATCTATGACTGGTGACCTTAAAGAAGAGTGACCATCCCCTGCCATGTGACAATACACCAACGACAGGGTAGCCTTTCTCAGTCTGCTGAAACAGAAACAAAAATCTCCCTACTGGGCTTTGTGTAGCCCCCTCGTGATTTCTTAAAAGCTGGCTTCAGCCAGCTTTCATGATTCTTCCCAGCAAGTTTTAAACCACAGCATCTCATACTAGAGTAGTAGCACCCTTCTAACAACTCAGCTTCTGATTGGGATGCCAAATATCTCCCCTGTTCTCTGCTTTTGGCAGAACTCACCAGGAAGCCCAGGCATGGGCTGGTGCTGTGTGGACTTGAGATTTCAGGCTGCATGTGAACACCTAGCCACTGGATGGGATGGCATGCAGACTGAGGCTGCATGAGGGGAACACAGTGGCCCTTGGGCATAGGAACAGGCCCCTCTCTCCCACTTTCCAAGAGCACATCCCTGCTTGGGATTAATTCTGTTCAATAGTTCCTTTCAACCACAGGCCGGAGGTTCTTCCTACTGTCTGTTGCTTATATCAGTAATGTGCTGGAGAAATGCTGCTAAGAGTTGGCTCTGTGTGTTATTTAAAAATCAAGCATTTTCATATAGTTGTTTTCCTGCTTAGCTTGTTCACTTGGCTTGGCAGGTAAAACACTTGCCACACGAGCATGAGGACTGTGGTTTGGATTCCCAGCACTCATAAATGCCAACAGGGATGACATTTCTGGAGCAAGCTGAATTCAGTTGAGAGACCCTGTTCAATGAGTGACGTGAAATATGATGGAAGAAGGGCCATCTCCCTCAAATACATAAAAATACCCTAAAAAAGCCTGTTAATAAAAATCACAGTCTTAAGACTTGCTTTTTCCAGGCCTAAGGTTCCGTCTTTTCCCTCCATCGTCTTCTAGCTCTTTCCCACCCTGTACATGTTCCCTACAGAGTTAGCCTTCATTTATGAATATCCCAGTGCCAAGTCCTGTCCCCTATACCCTTCACTGTTTAGGCTTGGGGTCAGACACTGTTCAAGGACAGGACTTTGGGCTTCTGTTGATAAGTAGAGAACAGGTAAAACAGAATCACTCTGTGTGGCTTCCCATCCCCCCCTGAGAGTTGATGTCCCACCTCAGATCTGCACAATAGTGCAGCCCACGAGGACCTGCATAATCACCTGGCCAGGTGGGTGTATGCTGTGAGTCACTGTTCTCCAGGGAATGACTCTGGGCTCATTTACTCTGGACACTTAGTGACAGGACCTGTCAACCTCTGACTCTTCAAAGGAGTCTGACAACAGACTGAAGAGACCTTTCGGCTAGGGAGCAGCTGTGGGGCCTGACAGGGTAAGCTCTGCTGTTTTCAGCCAAGATGCTTAATGCAAAGTCTACCTGGCCCGTGGCCAGTCTGTGTGCTGGCATGATTTCCTAAGTGGAGGAATAGTGGCTATTCCCACGTGTGGCTTGGCATGGAGGTGACCACCTTAAGGTCAGCACTGGCACCTTCTGCTCTGGAATGTTGGTAAACTGATGACTCGCCTTGTGTCTCAGTTTCCTCATTTCTGGGATGGGTCAGGACAGACCTACCTCATATGGTATTACGAGGATTTGGTAAATGCACACTATGAAGATTATATATATAGTTTGTTTTTGTTTTTCGAGACAGGGTTTCTCTGTGTAGCCTTGGCTTTCCTAAACTCGCTTTGTTGACCAGGCTGGCCTTGAACTCAAAGAGATCTGCCTGCCTCTTCCTCCCAAGTGCTGTGTGTGCCACTGTGCCCAGCAAATGAACACTGCTGTTAACAATGGCTGTGACTTCCTTTCTCTAACCTCAAACAGGAGCACAAGGCACCTCTTTCTACTGCCATTACTGTGACTGCAGCAAACACACTTGTAACGGAAGGCAAAGACCCTAGGATTTGGGCCAGTCACAGGTTCAAGGTACTGTCTACTAAAGGTACTGGTCATTTTCCTGAGGGTTTGTGTCTAAGAACATAGGACTCCTGATTCTTGTCTCGACAGCCTCCTGGGGGTGGCTGGAACCATATGAACAGATGGGAACAGACAAAAGGGCACATTCTTTAAGGATTGGATGAGCACAAAGCAGATGGCTTGGCTCTGGGTTATGTGGCTTTGGTAGGGTTCCCCAAGGCCTCTGCCTGGTTTGGTTGCTCTGCTCCTTGCTACTATTGTTTCCTTCTGGGCCTCTTCTTTTCCTCCTGATGGTGTCTGGCGTACAGCATATGGAGTTCTAGTGACTTGCTGTTTTGCTACCATCTGCCTGGCATTAGAGGCCACATACCTCCACTGAGCCTAGAGGGGCCAGCTCTTCCTTGTGTTGTCACCGAGGAAAGGCTTCATTTGGATAGAGTGGAGACTGCAGCACGAGAGGTACTCCACCCACTCTAGAGGCCTCAGGCTCTACCCCAGCTTCTAGGCCCCAACGCAGTCTAAGTGTGATGGTGGCTCAAATAGGCTTATGTGTTTCAAGCATAATAATCTTGTGTATCCAGGCACTGGTTTGGATATTTGTAGAATGACTAATTCCTGGGTTGGAGATTTATAAAAAGAATCTGTGTGGAACCAGTGAAATGACTGGCTGGGTAAAGGTATCTGTCACCAAGCTCAATGACCTGTGTTTGATTCTCAAGACCCACACGATAGGTAGGAGAGAACCAGCTTCTGCAAGTTGTCCTTTCACAGACACATACACACAGGATAAATGTTTTAAAAAAAATTGTTTTTGCTTTTTTGTGACAGGGTTTCTCTGTGTAACGGAGCCCTGGCTGTCCTGGAACTCTCTTTGTAGACCAGGCTGGCCTCGAACTCACAGAGATCTGCCTGCTTCTGCCTCCCGAGTGCTGAGATTAAAGGTGTGTGCCACCACCGCCTGGCACTGGAATGGTTTTTAAAAAGATCCTGCATGTGGTGCATCAGAGTTTACCAAGCATGTGTTATCTCACCGAAGCGGCCTATCATAAGCCTTAGGTGCAAGGGTTGATACATCCCACCACACAAATGGGAAAGCTGAGGGTCACCCGAGGCCCAGAGATTTGCCTAAATCAGGTAACTGTCAAAGCTGCAGCAGAAAACTGGGCTGTGACTGCAAACCAGGGTTTTTCTTTACTGCCCTGTCCTGGGCACTTTTCTGTGTATACAAATCTTCCATTTTATTAAATCATGTACAGTGTGGGAAGGAGAGTGATTCATGCTATGGGAAGCCTTCATCCAATTGCCTTTATCCTGAACCTAGAACTCACTGGGACACATCAGATAGCACAGGGTGTCACAACAGCAGAAATGCGGCTGACTGGAGCCCCTCATCCCCCTACCTTCGCCACGCTCGCTGGATGACTGCTGCTGCCTTGTTCTTTCTTCGAAACAGCTCTTTCCTGCTTCGCTCCCTCTGGATTATCTGCAGGCGCTGCTCTACAGGAAGAAGGTGAATATTCACACTCTTTCCGGGCGGGGTGCCATGAGCCACATCACTCTCTGGAGATGTCCAGCTGTCCTCGCACAGCTTCTTGCATGCTGATCTCAACTCTTCTGTGCTGAGTGGCAAGTCTGAGGAGTCCCCTCCTACAAGCTTGTTCTGTGTCACCTTGTTTCTCGGTGGGCGACGGTGGAGAGGACTCTGTTCAGCATAGGCAACTTCCCCCTTGGCGCTGCCAGGCCGGCTGGAGCCAGCTGGGGAGCACCGGTCTCTGAGCTGGTGGGTGCATCTTTTCTGGGAAGCACCCCTGGGCCTGGGTACCCTGTCCTGCTTCCTGCTGGGCTTCCTGGGGCTGTCCTGCTGGGAAGCACTTACACCTGCAGGGCTGGAGTCCTTTCCTTTCTCAGCAGTCTGGGCTGACCCAATGGACAAGGGTTGCCTGGCTCTGCCTGGACCCTCCTCACACCTCTGCGGCTCGACAATGGTCTCACCTCTGCACTTTTCCACAGAGGATGCTCCCTGATGCCTGTAGCCATCACCGCCTTTGCAGGATCTAAGGTGCACACAGGCAGAAGGGCCTCTGCAGTGTTCCCTGGGTGTTTCTTGGGTAGACAAGGAAAAAGTAAAATAACAGTCAGTGTCTAAAACTTTCAGGTGAGGGCAGTTCAATTCACTTGTTGACATGACAGATGCAGATACATCCATTAGCATTACAGTAACCATGGCAATGTGATCAGAACAAAACTCATCTTTTCCTTCTAGCAACCTGATGGGTTAGGCAGCCTGAAACATTCTGTCACTCCTTAGAATATCAGGAACACCCTTTTAAAAGTACTCTCCTGCCTTCCAGGAAATACAGGGATTCTGGAGGCTGAGAAGGACAAATTGAAAGGCAGAAGGACGAGGGTGTGAGCTGACTGCACCACCGCCCAGTGGAGCAGGTAAGGGTGTCTTATTAGATAGTTGGCTGTGCTGAAACAAAGCTTTGCAGGCAGAATGTTAACTGGGTGAAGACCCTGCCAGAAGCCAGAGCTCCTGAAAGGCTCTACCTCTGGGAAGTAACAATCCACATTAAAGTATGCTTGCCAACACCAGTGGATGAAGATGTGTCTCAAGCTAGACTCCGAATCGGTAGAGTCTCTTCTGTAAATTTGAAACCAGAGTTGTATTCCATGTGGATTTAGTGTGTATTTCTTAATCACAGGAGACATGAATGTATAAAACTGGTCTCAGGATGAGGTATCCCAGGACATCCACTAAAGCATATGCAATATTGCTTTTGTGTGACATGTCCTCAACTAAAAACATACAAAGAGGAGGTCTTCCGAAGATGACATCATGGTTCAAAATTATAAAATATACAAGGGCACAGTCTGTCTTGAACAACAATTAATATACACATGACAGGATTAGGTCTCCTGGAAGCTTGGTAAACACACATGAGATTAAAAATATGCAAAAAGTATGTTTGGAAACGTAAATGAAACACAGAAATCGAAAAACTTATTTTCAATGAAAAGAGCACCAATGTAAACATCAGGAAAGAACTTGCATTTTCAAAAAGGCGGAGTTGACACATGCTTCCTCCCAGGACATGGAAATGCAGAATAAAATTATACCTATCCATAGGACATACTGAGCTAGCAAGGCAGGAATAAAACAACCAAGATCTAGGAGGCTCTAGTGAGCCGACTAATGAGGAAGGCCCTTGTGGGTCAGAGGTCCACAGGTCAATCCTTCATTCAGTCTAGCACCTGCTAAGAAGTGTCCTTTAGGGGGAAAAAGTTTCCTTTGGGATTGGGACCCTGGAAAGCCATGCCCAAGGAGACAAGGGGACCTGGCAACAACATGACCCCGGCAGGTCCTCAGCTCTTGAATTGCTAGTCCTCCCACTGTCAAGCTTCAAGTTACCCTTTTTTATTTTATTTTATTTTATTTTATTTTATTTTATTTTATTTTATTACTTTATTAATTACACTTTATTCACTTTGTATCCCCCCATAAGCCCCTCCCTTCTCCCCTCCCAGTCCCACCCTCCCTCCCCCTTCTTCACACATGCCCCTCCCCAAGTCCACTGATAGGGGAGGTCCCCCTCTCCTTCTCATCAGGAGTGGCTGCATTGTCATCTTCTGTGGCCTGGTAAGGCTGCTCCCCCCTCAGGAGGAGGTGATCAAAGAGCAAGCCAATTATATCAGTGGACAGTTAGTTCTCAGCCAGAAATATAGAGACTCATGAGTCAGCAGAGCAATAGCAAGTGAGAAAGAGTATATATATATGTATATGTATATGTATATGTATATGTATATGTATATATACATATAGAGAGAGTACGTATTACAAACATTACCACATATCATGTATGAGAGCATATACTGTGGTGATTTGGATGAGAATGGCTCCCATAGGCTCATATATTCAAACACTTGGTCTCCAGTCTGGGAAAGGTTAGGAGGGGTGGCCTTGTTGGAAAATGTATGTCACTGAGGCTTTGAGGTTCCCAGTTAGCTCTCTCTGCTCCAGCAGCATGGCTGCTTGCCTGCCTGCTGTCATGCTCCCATCATGATGGCCATGGACTCACCCTCTGAAACTGTAAGCCTCAATAAACTCTTGTAAGTTGCCTTACATGGTGTCTATTCAGTGTGTCACAGCTCTAGATCACCTGGAGAAGTCCAACTAGCAGCAGTGTGATTACAGGACAATGCTTATCAGAAAGTGAGGAAGTAGGTAGTGTTCAAGGTCGGAACACAGCAGACCTGGCTGTTTTCGAAGTATCCCTGAGCCATGGTGCTTCAGAATAAGGCTGACATGCTCTGCCCTGCCCTCTGCAATCACCCAAAGTCTGCAGAGCAGCACCTCAGCAGAACGGTGCTGTTCACCTGAGGCTCCAGGGCGTCAGTGTCATTCAGTGGCGCACATGCTCCTGGGTGATCAGTGTGTGCTCACAGCTGGAGGAAAGAACACGGCAGTGCGCTCGCTCCTCAGCCTTGCTTGTTAATTCAGCACAGCTGGGACATAGGGTATGCTCCAGATCCTGTCTGCCAAATTAATGCATGAATGACTGGGGAACTGAGCAGAAGATCATCCCTGCCACAAAAATGGGTTTCTGTTACAGCACATACCCAGTGAAGACTTTCTGTCTTAGGGCTGGTAACTTTTGTTTTACTTCTGGATCTCCAGGCCCAGCTACTTCTACCCAACTATGTATTCACCTATTTTGTAGTGCCAGATATCCTGTGAGGTACTGGGAACACAAAGCACTAGACACAGTTCCTGTTATAAGAGACTGTGCTGGGTGGGGATGGCGTCAAGACTGTGCAATGTGACTATGGAGTGTCACCACTCAGAGGAGGAGCTGAATTCTCACTCTCTTAAATCTGCTCAAGAACAGAATGTGACAGAAGTGATGTGAAAGTTATGCAGTGTACAATTTCAGGCCTTGCAACTTCTTTAAGCACTAATGAAGATGATGGAATATACCTGGGAATGACAGGCAAGAGAGAAGTGATCTGGGGTCCCTTAGCCATCAGCAGCACTAGCTGCCACATACTGAGGAGGCCACTTTGGCTTGCCACCCAGTTTGGCCTCTAGCAGCCAAATGAGTGAGCCCAAAGTGACCCAGTTAGTGACTACCCAGCTAACTCATAACACTTTGAGAAACAGAATTGCTCTTTTAAGCCACTTGGTTTTGAGGTTGTCTTTTATGCCACAAACAGTAACTAAGAGAACCCTCAGAAAGCGGCGCTGCCTAACAGAGACCCTGACATTGAGTTGGGACTGGCTGTGCAGAGACTGCTAGGGCAATGCAGAGACCGCAGTGAAGCAGGGAGGACAGGAATGGACTGCCACCAGAGTGTGGAGAAGGGTAAACCTCGCTATTAAGGGTAGAATACCCGAGGCTCGGTCCCTGCAGTAACTTAAGAGCTAAGACACTACCTAGTCAACTTGGAAATACTGCTCAGAGCACTGCTCAGTGCACTGCTCAGACCACCTGTGGCCTCCTGATGGGATGAAGAAGTAGTGACTGCTTTTAAAACTGAAGATGATGAGGTGTGGGGAGAAAGGATTGTAAAGAATGAATTAAAAACACACTATAGAGAAAAAAAAATAAAGGTCTTAGGATGTGATGGGTAAGAGCTGGAGTCAGAGAGAGAGGATAAGAGAGAGAGAGCCCTACAGTCTGTGGATAAAGATCAAGCCAAAAGTGTGGCTGCACTTCCCTTTATTGGGAAACTATTTAAAATGGAACATTTGAGATTTTTAAGACTCTGAGAGCATCTTTTCAGAGAATTATGTGACACACAGGAAGCCTGTTGAAATGGATTCTGCATAGAATGACTTCCTGAGATATTCACATCACAGAGGTCACCGTGAGCTTGAAATGGGAAGACAGTTTAAAATAAAGAGAAGCCCAGGGAATCAGATTTTCTGTGGGCAGAAGCAGGCTGAGGAAGCTACTCTGCTTCAGACTTGGGCTATTTCTTAGGAAAAGGAAGGACTTCTCAAGAGTAGGGCAAGAGGGCACAGGGAGCCACCGAGGAGTCAGGAGGGGTCCTGTTCTGGCCTCTGCAGGGCAAGGCCCCTGCTGATGTGGCCAGCAGGCTTTCTGAATTGCTATGAACTTTGGCTGGCTATGTCTCCCGCTCTACCTTCAGCTGTGGCTGTTCTGTTCTCACATCACTGATGAAATTCAGGTATGTGGGAACATGGATAATACATCCTTGTTGGTTGATATTTGAACTGGAAGAGTCCCACTCTGCGAATCAACACATCTGGACTTCAAGTCTGATGTAGTCGTTGGGATAATAGTTAGGGTTAGAAACAGGAGTAAGAATATTTCTCCTGTCAGAAACACATGAAGAAGCTGTGAGAGAATGGAGATGTGATAGACTACTCAATAGCCAGAAGTTTCTCTCATCCCAGAGTGAAAGTGGGAGCCTCTTGTCACACTGCTTAGTGTGGAATGGTCTCATAACTCTGGCTGATCGACAGAGCTGGTATGTATATTCGGTAGCCTGTTTCTCAAGAGGTCTTGCAGTCTCTCTCTGCATTTGTTTCTTGAGAACAATGTGTAGCAAGCTCCAGTCGAGCTTGCTGGAGGATGGAAGGGCATGAAACAGAGTCATGGAATCCTAAATGACAGCAGCTCTGGCTGCCACATGTGAGGCTGCCTACTGAGATGATGAAATTCAAGCTGCTCTTTACCTGAGGGAAGCCACAAGGGCAAGACCTTTGCAAGCGTTCTAAGGAACTGCTAAACCACAGAATCCTAGGAAATGATGACTTGGTGTTCTAAGCAACTTCGTTTTAGTGTGGTGTGTCACACACAGCAATAAATGACAAGAGCAATCTTATATTTATAGATCTTGCATTCTGGTTGGAAAAGCAGACAAGAAGGCCAGTGATAACAGTGAAGATGATCTTTAGAATAGGGAAGGCATGGGAAGCATAGAACACAGGTGTATGGCATTGTTTAGAGAGGTGATGTGGCTGTCAAAGAAGCACTTTTTATTCACACAGAAACAGAAAACATCAACTAAGGCACTAAGAAAGAACTTAAGAGAATTCAACGTGGCCGCCACATTATGGGCAATAACCATTGGGTGCCAATTATATTGGGACTTTCTTTGGACCAGCAACTATGAAATAATAACATGGAGCCCTTGTATTAATGTGAAAGCTTGGCCCTACCTTAGGCTTGTTCCCCACTAGCATTTATCACTTAAATTAATCCGTTTATACCAATCCACATTCTGCCATGAGGTTCATTACCTTTTCTCAGTCCCTTAGTCCCTGTTTCTTCCTTCAAGTCTGGCTAGCGAATCTTCTCTCTCTGGTTCTTTCCCAGAGTTCCTATCTCTGCCAGAAGTCCTGCCTATCCTCTCCTGCCTCCACTCTTGGCCAGTCAGCTCTTTAGTAAACAAATCAGAAAATGAGGGAAGTGTATGTTTACAAAATATGATGTAGGTGATGAGCAATTAGAATAACAAAACCAAAATCTGTACAGTACTCAACTATCTGGTGGAAAAGAATTAACAACTGACTATACAAAGACAACCTTCACACAGTGCACAAGGTCACCCCAACAAAGACCACTTAGTTGGTGCCAGCTGAAAACATCAGTAAATAAATAAAACACCACACTACTTGAGGTTTGCAGTGCTGACAGAATCCCAGAAACATTTATGAATGGTTAGATTAGAAGTTTGGCTTAATATGAATCCTGATTACTAAAGATTTGTGAGACATGGATGAGAATAAATCTGATAGATTGTTTTATTTCTGACCATAACTACCTTGTAAGGCAAGGTAGACTCCAATTTTGTAGCTAAGTTAATTGAGGTCCAGAGAAACAGATTGGATTATCCAAACCCTAAGCAACAATGAGATCTCAGACAACTTTTCATAATAATTTTTTTTTCATAATAATTTATACTAAGATATTGTTGGCTTTTCATAAAACTGCATCAGCAGTTGTCTGTAAATTTGGGGAGGTTTTCATCACTTTCTAATTCAGAAGAACAGTTCAAAGTGCTTAAATTGCTTTGTGCAAACACTGTGGGCCACGATGAATAGCTGCTTTCCTTCTGGGAGTCTGGACTTATATACACTAAGCAAAGCTACCTCTGTAAATCACCGAGTCCTAGACTCCAAGGAGCTCTTTTGGAAGACAAAGCTTGTGAGGCTGGCCACTACAACTTACTGCTCAAGTAACTAAGTGTGTGTGTGTGTGTGTGTGTGTGTGTGTGTGTGTGTGTGTGTGTG